TAATAATTACTAGCGTGTAATGCACCTGCGGTGCTTCGAAATTTAAACAACTCAAAAACTATTCTTTGAGTGTACTCTGACAGCACCCAGTTACAGGGTTCGTTTTTACAAATTTAGCAAAATTTTTATTCAGGTTTTCTATACAAATTTTGAAGAACCATAAAATTTTGTAAAGTTTCATAAAAGTTCTTCGGAGAGTTTAAAATGAACTAAGAAACATCACATCTGGAAAACTGAAAGCAATTGAGCAGACGCATTTGGACGCAAGATTTGCAACTCCTGAGAGTACTTTTACAGTATCCATCTACAACGTTGGGAAATTCAAATTTTGAAAAAAGTCACCTTAAGTTTTCTTTTTTGATGGCAATATTCGCAATCTTTGAAAGTACACAAGTACAGGGTTGGAAATTTCACTTTAACGAATAATTTGTAATTAGATTTTGTGAAAATAACCATAAAAATCACAAAAATCGTCGTATCTCTTAAGCAAAAATGATTTGGGCATTTTTAACTGGAGGCCAAATTTCGAACCCCTGAGATTACTCTGACAGATCCTCACTACAGAGATGAAAAATTCAAGTTGTGAAATTTTTTATACTTGTTTTCTAAAAAATTTTGAAAAAACCTAAAAAAACGTCATATCTCGAAAACTACAAATATATGAGCAGCCATATTCAGAGACATGATTCGCAACCCTTGAGGGTACCCTCACAATATCCAACAACAGGATTGAGGTCTTCAACGTTTTGGAATTTTTTAAAAACTAAGTTTCTGATTTTCTTTTGAAAAAATCATAAAAAACGTCATATCTCGAAAACTACAAGGATTTGAGAAGTGAGAATTGGAGGCATGATTCGCAACCCCTGAGAGTACCCTGACAGCATCCAACTACAGGGTGAGAATTTCAAAAATTGAGGAATTTTTCTAAATTAAATTAAAAGATTTGGTTATTCATATATGGAGGCCAGAATCGCAAAACCTAGGATAACTCTGACAAAATCCTACTATTGGGTTGCTAATTTCAAACTTGATGAAATAAACACTGAATTTTAACTGGAAAATCGAAAAAAAAACCTTAACCATTGCAATATACGATATAGCTAAACGTGAAAAATTTTTTTCGTTAAACATGCAAAATTATTATGCTTAAACATGGGAGATAGCTGTCACTCGCATTTAAATATAGTATAGATAGATATAGATAGATAGATAGATAGATAAATATAGATAGATTGATAACGATAGATAGATATAGATATCACCAAACTCATTCCTATTATTATTTGCAGCAAAAAAAAACACCCGAAGACAAATTTACTCCTCACCTACAGTGGTCAGGACAAAACTCGGATCTAACATTTTTGCTTCGAGCAGAAAGAACCTCTTGCCATAACCAGGCAGAACTCATGGTTACAACAAAGTGACAACATGATATTATTCTTCGAAGAAAAAAGATCTCAAATAGTAAAACAGCACTTGTCATAATGATAATCATAATGTTAGCAATTTCTAGTCATAATCGCATGTTAAACTTTTAGCAAGTTCTAGTCATAATCTCATGTTAAACTTTTAGCTGGAAATAAATCTATCTACTTTTTGGCAAAAATATTTCTGCTTAAAGGGAGAATAATTGGTAACTCAAAATTTAGGCTTTTGCTAAAAAAATTTCATCTCTAAGGCATCAATGAAATTACATGACCTAAACGCATTCGCATCTTTGGATTAACTTCATTAGAAAAACTCTGTTTCAAAGGTAGTTGGTTTAATTGAAATTCTAAAAATGGAGGCCAGAATCGCAAAACCTAGGAAACTCTAATAAAATCATAAATAAACATTTGCAATATACGATATAGCTTAAACATGAAAAAATTCTTTCGTTAAACATGTAAAATTTTTATGCTTAAACATGGGAGATGTCACTCGCATTTAAATATAGTATAGATTGTAATCATAATCATAATAACTATTATAATAATTAAAATCATAATGATAATTATTATAATAATCATTATCATAATCATAATATTAATTTTAATAATAAAAATTAAAATGATAATAATCATATTAATCATAATGATAATCATAATAATAAAACTCATAATAATAATAATAATAAATTCTAATAATAATAATTATAATCATATTAATCATCATAATGCTAATCATAATCATAATAATTATAATAATCATTATCATAATCATAATAATAATAATAATCATAAAAATCATAACGATAATAATCATATTAATCATAATGATAATCATAATAAAAAAAATCATAATAATTATAATAATTAATTCTAATAACAAAAATCAAAATCATATTAATCATCATAGTAATAAAAATAATCATAATGATCATATTAATCATAATATTAATAAAAATCATAATAATCATAATAATGATAACAATAATCATAATAAACAAAATCATAATAATCATAATAACAAGATTCGACATGAAGTCATTACAAGAAGGAAATTACAAATTAGGAATCTTATACAAAAACATCACATCAGAGAGCGCAATAAGACTAGATTAAGCCTGGTTTCAGGCGTCTCAGAGCGAGAATTGAAAATGAGTTTGTGATACCCTTGTAGATAAGGGAAAGGAAAAATTGAAATGAGAGCCCATCTTGTTCAAAAAAGATGACAGGGGAAAATTTTTAACGTTTGGTAGAAATAGAGATTAGGGTTTTACCAGAACCAATATTTCTTTTTAAAAACATTGTCGAAAAACAAGGAAGGAGGCAAGTTCAGATTAATTATATGTCACTATTGGTTTGACTATGAGTAGCTAATAATTGATGGTTGAAAAGGTTTGATCCCCGATTATTAATTTATTTTTTTATTTTCTGTAAATTAAGGGAACAAAAAAGCAAACTGTTGAAGAGAAATTGGGTTTTAGCAGCAATCTAGTACTAAGCTATGATGCAATTTTTTTGTGTAGTGCAACAGTTCTCGCTAGATTTCTTTTAGTTGAAATTTGTTGTTGCTTTTCTTCAGTCATTACTTTTGGTAACATTTCAGTTTGGCATTCACTCCGTATTACTTTGTACAAAAACTTTTAGCTGTTCATAAGTATGTAATTTTTTTATATTGAAAATTTTCTATTCTTGTCTTATGTCTTTGATTGATTCAAATTTTTTTAAGACGCTTCAGCAGCATTTCCAGATGTTCTTATTTTGTTCTATCAGTTGATGCGTTAACGAGGACTCCATATTGCAAAATTTGCTGAACAGAAGTTTTATGTGCCAAGAGAACCTTTTTTTCTCAGCATTTTTCTCATTCTATAAAAGAAGCCACACTACTGGCTAACTTTTTTGTAGAGAAATTATATGATTTTCCAATGTTAAACTTTCTTCAATAATTATTCAAGATATTTGAAACTTTTGAGTTTTTCTATTTAATCGCCTTTTATTATTGTATCTGCAGAGAGTTTCGCAGCTGAATTTTTGCCAAAAACCATAGTTTTAGATATTTGTGTGATAAGTGTTAATTTATTGCTTGCTAACCAAAAAATAGTTTTGTTTAAGGGTTCTTGGTGATCTGCTTTTAGACTATTTATTGAAGAAGTTGTTTCATTACTGTATCATGAGCATATAGTAACGGGTTACTAACTTGCTGAGGATTTTTTTTTCTATATTATTCATATATAGGATGAAAAATGGACCCAATAATGATCCGTGGGACATCAAAAATAATTCCTTCAACTTTTGATTTTTTTCTCGAGATATATACATTGTTTTCTGTTTGCTAAATACGATTTCAATAAATTAAAAAAGCCTTCTAGGTCTATATTAGTCAGATTTATCCAGTAAAATATCATGGTCAACAGTGGTCATGAGGTTCTCAAAAACTTACCGAATTTTAGTAACAAAGAAATTTGTCTTAAGTTAGCAGGATCTTTTTTATTAATTCTTTGAGTATTGGAATTTTTTTAAGCAGTTTTTCGATTTTTCTGGAAAAGTCTGGCAATCAAAACAATTCTGAAAAAGCGTAGCCGAGAACTCAGAAAAAAAAGGCTGAAGCTTTTTGAGCACAAATTAGTTAATGTCGTATGGGTCACGGCTGTGTTTTGGTTCCAAGTTTTCAAATATTTTTTCAATTTTTTTTGTTAATTGGTTTCAAATAAAAAGATTTGATTGAGTCCAGAAAACTCTTTCGCTTGGCCGGAAAAATGTTTGCAGCAGGGTTTCTCAAATTTAGAAAAGTACTCACAAAATTTTTTCATATAAACGTGTTCCATTGGGTCACCATTTTCCTTTGCGAACCTAATAAATCTTTGTACAGTTTGAAAAATCTGTGATTATTTGCTTTAACCTTCAATTGTCTTGATAAAACGCTTTCTTTTTCTTATGCAATCAAATTTTGTGAAAAAATTATTAGCAGTGATATTTTTCGTGCAGCTCTGATATACCGAGCTTTTTGAACTGGTTTGGCAATCGATGTTTTTTTGGGGCCGCGTTATTTATTTCTTTATCAATTTAGAGTTTTTGCCGCTTTTTAGATATGCTTTTTTCGAAAATAACCAAGCCAAGTTGAGCTATCAAGATCTCATGTAGTCTTGAAAAAGCTATAACAACCCAGTGAAAAAGTTATTTTAACCAACGAAACCCAGTAAGCGCAAAGGTGAATTAAGACTTCGGTCAAAATAGCACGCCGGATTGAAAGTGGAAGCTGTTTTTAAGTAGCTTAAATATGCACTCTTTTTAACCTAGTCTGCCCGAGTAGTTTCCCGTCTTATAAGTTACCAAGTTCGCTGAAAGGTCCAACAATATGAAAACCACTAGAGAAAGTTGTTGTTTATACCGCTTGGCGGAGGATACAGAAATATGCAAGTGGAAAGCGCATCTGTATGCGACATTCCAGAAACTTCAAATCAACAGATGCAATTTATTGGAAAAAGCAAGCATGTTCAAACTGATACAAACTCATGTCCTGAGAACGGAGATAATTTTAAGCTTAAATACAAAAGCACCGTTCGTTTTCAAAGGATATTAACCTAAGGATGCCGGCACATGCTGCTTTTCGACTTGACGTAGCTTCAATTTCTCCACTACTTGATTGAAGATTCTCTTATTGAATTCAACAAATCCAATGGTAGTTCCAAATGCATTGGTATTCATCTCATACATTCCAATTTCACATTGGGCGACGCCTAAGGAACCAAAATTAGTTTCTACAGTCTGGAAAGCTTCAATCATAGATCCATCAGACATACTAAGCAACCCTCGCAATTCCTTTTGGGTTTGCCCAACTTTTTGTACGTGATCTTCGAAACGAGTTTCCGATTTCTTGAACTCTGCAAACTTCACTCTTATTTCTGCAGTCACTTCTTCTTTTAATTTATCAATGTCTTCAACTTGTTTCAATAGAGTTTCGACTTCAGATTCATGTTGATTCACGATACCAGAAACTGACTCGCGTTTCCTCAGAGCAGCCTTTTCGTTGCTCTCCCATTCAGTTAACAGATCAAAAACCTTCGATCGAACCTCGCTTGCCCTCTCGACCATCGACTTGGAAGCATGTGAACGGTGTTTTGCCACACACTTTCCACAAAAAAGTTCATCACAGTCGATGCAGTATTCCAGACATACCATTTTATGCTCAGTACAAATAGAGGGTTGCAGACTTCTGTGATCCCGCACAGAATAACTTTTCTTCAGGTGAGCAACGGTGCAAAGGTCGCACAGATAATGGATTGATCCCGTATCAATATTTATTTCAGTGCTATCCATTTCATTGCATTGAGTGCATTTGTAAAGATCTTCGATTGAATTTGATTTTTCGCAATTAGAACACAGAACAAGTTTTTCACCAGTTTCAGCTATGGCCATTACTAAGAACAAGGATAACCGGTTGCTGTTCGGTAAGCACAGAAGGTTCTGAACATAAAATAGATAACAAAAACACTTTTTTCTAAACTGTGTCATTTTTTGTTTGTGATGTGACAAAAAGATCCGAATAGTCCAGAACTCAGGCATATTCGAGTAACAGTTAAAAAGTATATTAAAAATTTTTCCCGAAAAAAGAATAGAAAACAAAAATCAAAAAAATATATTATTAAATGTTCTCAATTGTTTATATTATTTTCCAAAACTTAATCGACAAGGCGCTGAAAGGAATTCCGAGAACTAATTTTACAGGAGTAAAATTAAGTTTCATGCCTTAAAAAAGCACATCGCCCTTATATAAGCCTGCTCGCTTTCTATATTCGCTCAAAATTGGACTAAAAATCAAAATTTCAAACCAGTTTTTCTCGACAGAGGGGCAGAATATCGGCAAAATAAAGTTTTTAACGAAATATATATATGAGGTCAAGTTTAGTTAAAAAAAAAACAAACAGCACAAACAGAGTAAAATCAGAACAGTAAAAGCAGCTATGATGTGAAAAAAAAACTTCAAAATAACTATTCAATACGGCAACTAAGCCGACAAAACCACAGCGGACAATCATCAGCCGATGAATTTTTTTTTGAAACGGACTATTTCCAGTTTGAAAGAAAAACAGGTCCGGACAGTTTCGAACACAGGACCTTTGGCATCGCAGGCGTATTCGTTACCTCCAGATTAAGTGTACCGGAGACGCCGAAATTTGACCTCATTATGAACCAATCTACACTAAATGATTCAAGTGATTCTGTTAAACTAGTTGTTAACCCGAAAAAAGTCTATATTCCAGTTTGATAACGCTTGCTCATCGCGAGCATAAATAGCCACTCGGTCCAATCTGATGAATATTTGTGCATCTGATTTTGCGACAAAAAAGTGAACCAAAAATACAAAACCAAGAGACGAAGTTTCTCCCTAACTTCAGTGGTCGGAACAATAACACCGATCAAATGAAACCTGAAATCAGAAATACTTGAAATAACAAAGCGAATAAAATGAAAAAAAAAACGAGATAACTATTCCCTTGCTATGGACGAGAAATGAACAGAAAGCCTATTTTTAGGGAGAAGTACTGGAAATTTTGGAAGCCAAGATAAGATGTAGGACTGCCTATAACACAGCCACACTCATGCGTGACGATCAGTAAGCGGATCTACTGCGCTGATTTTTTGTATTCTCAGCCTAACGTATCGCAGAGTGGGCGAAAGAATACTAAGAAAATCATTTCCCACTGCTTTGGAAAAAAAACTACTTTTATCACTATATTATTCAACATCTTGAAAAATTATAAAGTCTATTAATTTATATAAGATAAAATAAACTAAACATCTGAACTTAAAAATTGGGGCCTGGACTTTCTGTAGATCTTGTACAGCAGTGTCTACTTCAAAACATTTGGAAAAATTTGAAGTATTATCGACCCTCAAACGACACAATATGTGGTGACTACGCACGCCAGTTATTAGCCAAAAGTGTTTGGCTCTTTTTCCTCCTCCTCCCCCCACCTCACATAAGCATCAATTTTCTGGCGTAACGAGGGGTTTTGCAAAGATAGATGTGAAGACCAAATACCTTTGTCATAGCCTAATCAGTCAGCATGTCAAATTTTGTAACAATACGACAATGAGAACAGAAAAATTACTAGCGAAAACTCGTTGGTGAGGGAAAGGACAAAGAGCCCAGTTTTTAAGCCAATGAAACATTTCAAGCGAAACAAAAGTATATATTTTGACGCAAGGATTCAGTGATTTGTTTCACCTAATTGTTAAAATGAACTACGGTAATTGCAAGTGTAACAATCGTTGTCAGGGCAAAAGCTGCTGCTTGGTACTGATTATTTTGTATTTCTGGACTGTAAAGCTAATTGAACTTGCCGTATTGATCGAATGTTTTATAGAGTTCGAGGGTTACGGTAGAAAATAAAATAATTTTATCGGTATCTGAAGTTGGAAAAAAAACGTATTGGACGAGGTTTGAAGGTTTGCACTTTGATTCTAAGTATTCATGAGCGTTCAACTTTGAGCACTGTTATCGCATTCTGCATGCATGGGTAAAATAAAACCTGTTTTATCGAAGCCTTGTATGCTACCAATACCAGTAAAAAGTCTGTAGACTGGACACAAAATTTTCCAGATAAAGCAAAAAAGGATGAAAAACGGCTCGCGGTTTTTGCTGACGTTCGGTTGCAATGCTCATCTTAGTTGAAGGACGGTTCGATGAAGACACCCAAAACTTTGAAAATCTTCGAGACAGAGAAGTATGAGTTAAATAGTGGCAGTATCCATTTGGGTGAACGAATCTGAACGAAGTTAAATGTCATCACTAAAGTTGGGATACACTAAAATTACGGAGAGCTCATTAAGTGCGTACCACATTATGCCGGGTACTAAAAAACTACCTTATGGATTGACCCCTACGGTTATTGTGAAATTTGTCAGGTTGGAGGACAAATTAGCAACATACAAAAAAATTGAATAAAGAAGCAACCAATTGAACGGGAAGAAAATATACATGAACGAGCGACTCCCTCTTATCGAATCAAACACAAAACCATGAGGCAATCAAATATGGTTTCATTACATCTTTCTGGAATTGTAGCGTGTCGTTTTGTGTAGAAACGATCGTGGGCAAGTTTGCTATGGAAAAGTGGACAGCGTAGACTATTTAAGAACTATGGAAAATGCTATCAAAAGCAACGCATGGCTAAGAGGGCGACAAATTCTAAACGCGGTGATTCCGAAATAGAACATGAGGAGAGAATCATGAAACTGCATGCTAGTTTTTCTCTCGAAGTAAAAAACAAAACAAAATATGAAGGCGGAAAGTGCAGCATGTGAACTCCAATGAACTCTAGTTATGGAGATGGGAGTAGTAAACTATAAATTTTCGGTAAGTTGTCGCTTTTTGTTTTGCTTTCTAAACCATTTGGTTTTCCTTTCTAAAATATTATTGCAACTGAAGCATAGTTCTTAAAAAATGTGTACCTCATTTCTTAGTTTTTTTTCTGTCAACTTTTTCAATTAGCATTTTCGATTTTCAGCAATTGAGCTCATCCGAAAAAAAATACCTTTCTTGGTTGCGATTTTCAGCAACCGGATTGAGAGGTGTCTTAAGCTGGATAAGGATCCATAGTTGCAATTTTCAGCAACTATGGTTGAACAAAAAATCTTAAGTTAATTTTCAAAGTGTAAACAAAAATGACTGAAGCAAGAAAAAGTCAGTCTTTTAATAAAATCACTTCAAAGTAAAATAAAACTGTTTTAAAATACAAAAAAGTGCTTCTGAAAATTTGAGCAAATAAAATCAAAAACCATTATGTTAAAGTACATTGGCCAGATAACAATCGGAAAAGGTCGGAAAAAGGAGTAACACCTTTAGCTTAATGTCCAATCATGAATCCTTAGATCTTTTTCTTGAAAATAAAACTAATAGGTCGCAAATCATAGCTCTTACTGACACATGGCTGAAAGATTATATGGAGTTTGGTATTCAAATTGGCATGTTAACAATCAATAGAAACATTGAGTAGGAACAGACGCGGTGGAGGTGTTGGTTTCTACGTACGCGAAGGTATTTCAAATAACAGAATTAAAGAAGTCACTTCAGACGAAATGCAAATTTTCGCTATTTTATTCGAAAACAGCGTAGAGAAAATTTTGTAACCATTGTCTATAAAGTACCTCAAATGAACAATTGTGAATTTTTTGATCAATTAAAAGCTTATCTTCTCGAGTTTAAATGCAACCTGGTGATATGCGCGCTGTGTAAGGAGCCTCTATATCTTGAAAACAGTCTCTTTTTTTTAGGTTAATTTTATTGAAAAATGAAAGTACTCGTAAAACGAAGAGCAGCCAGCCAACGATAAATAAATTTTTTTACCTTTTTTTATGCGATAGTCATGGTCCAACACAACTCTATATCGGATCACGAGGCGGTAAAAATTGGAGCACCACTTCTAATTGGAGACAAAACTATGCTTGGAAAACATAATCTTGAAATTTTTGATAACTGGCACGTTTTGGATAACCATGAGACTGTTGAAGTTCAATGTTGCGCTGTGGCAGACCACTGAAAAAATTAAGTTGAAAAACGATACTAAAATTGGAAGGATTGCTTTTCACAGCAACAAAAAGCTATCCAATCTACTAGTGAAAAACTTATTCCTAAGCTCCCAATAAAAAAAATTGAAAAAGTTGGGTAACAGCTAAAATTGAAAATAAGAGTAATGAAAAAATGTACAAAAAAAAATTGGACAAGAAGAGTGATTGTAATCTTGATAAAGTCCAGGAACAAAGAAAAAAGTGAAAAACTTGTCGAAAATCATAAAATTCTTTGAGCCATAAAAGTTCAAAAAGTTTTTATAAAGTCATAGATGGGATCAGAAAAAAGAAAAAACAAGTGAGTTCGAAGCACGGAATTCCGAACGCAGAAAAACTTAACAATTGTTTTAATTGAAAAATGGTCAGACGCTAATCGAAGGTAATATAACACCAAAAAATCTTTAAAATAATGTAGAGTATGAAAATACAATGTTTTTTGAAAATAATTCACCCCAAGAAATTTATGAATTAAATAAAATCCTGAAGATAAAAACAGCCTTGATGGTTACAACCAAAGATAGAAAAACTAATCAAAAGAATTAGTCCGGTTATGTCTGAGCTACTGAGTTGCCTTTTCAATCAATGTGTAGAGTTGCCATATTATCCTTCAATTTTTAAGATTGCTCAAGTTCAACCAATTCATAAAAATGGCAGATTGTGTTAACTACAGATATATATGTATTCTTTAGGTCTGTAGTTTTCAAAAAAAAGTTTCGAAAAGTTGATTATTAATCGCAGAGAAGTTTTCTGAACAGTTATGATGTAATAACAGCATGTCAGCACGGATTCTGAAATAAAAAAAAGCACATTTGATGAGCACATTTCAACTCACTGAACGAATAGTGGAGAACTTAGAAGATAACGTTGGCTCCGTGTGTACAATAAAAGATCTTACAAAAGCGTTCGACACAGTTGATCACAAAATCTTACTGGAAAAATGCGAACTATACGGTTTACGAGGTAAGGTTGTTTATCTTTTGAGGTCGTAACTTGAATATCGTAAGTAGTACGTTAGTTATAACAATTCAATATCAGACACAAAAACAATCTAATACCGTTTTCCACAAGGTTCAGGCTTGGGTCCTTTGTTGTTTTTGCGGTATATAAATGATTTGCCAAACGTCTATAGGCATATTTAAGTTGTACTGTTTGCTGATCATTGCGCGTTGTATACAACAACTCAAACAGAAAATCAGCAGCAGATGATTTCTGATACAAGCAAGGTTGGAAATTAGTTTTTGGAGAACAAATTAAGCATAAGCAAGAAGAACAAAAAAACCACCTAAGAAATTAACAGGAAGAAAACCTCTACCAATAGTTTTTAGGTTTAATAATTGATGGAAAATTGAATTTCAAAACACATATCGATAAAATTTTGATAGGGGCAGCTAAATCTTGCTCGATGACCTATCAACTCAGATATTATTTTAACACTGCTCAAGATAAATAAAATTAATAATCAACCAATATATAAATATAGTGCACTGATCTATGACACTGCTAATAAGACAGACTTAAAAAATTAGAAATCAACAAGGACTCGTGTGAAGGAATTGTTTTAAAATTAAAAATGGGGAAATTCTGAAACATATTCGGGACAAACGTAAAATCTGTTTGGTTCGAGAGTTGCACATGAGCTTTTTAAACTCACGGTTAAAATTTTAAGACGATCTTGGAAATAAAAAAACTTCATGAATACATAAGTGAACAGGAGATAACAGATACTATCAAAACAAGCAACATAGGAAAAAAATGCCGAAATAAGCTTCATCAAGAGCAAAAAAGAAAATCGAAAAAAGGGTTTGTATTTTGTAAAATAAGTTCTTACAGTTGGATACAACATTCTACTTGAAGCGTTAACAACTACCAATGAATCTTTGGACTCGTTTTTTCATAAGTATGTCATAAGAGATAAGTATGTTTTGAGAAATTTCCATCCCTTTGTTATAGTGTTTTATGTTCATCTTATTTGGATTGTTAGACAAAGCCAAAACAAACTGATTTTTTTGAAGTTTGAAAAAATATTTTAAGAAATTTAGCGGTCCTTTTGTCTATATGATCTAAGTTTTAAAAAGTAGACGAATAGATTTTGCTCATGAAGATGCCACCCGACAGGCTGATGCCTTTTTGGTATTCTCCCAAGCCGAACTTCATTGTAAACGTACATGTTCATAGAATGTATGGTTTTAAGTTTTGGCTTGAAAAAAATCCAACAAAATTTTTGAAATCCGCCCCCCCACTCCCGGAGAAAATCCTAGATCCGCCCATGGGCATAGGGAAAAACATCGCCCAACAAATTAAAGCAAACGCAAAACTTTCAAGCAACCATCAGTTTCGCTACTACATACTTTGACAATCTGTTAAAAAAGAAGCAGTCAAATGAAAAAGTCCAATTACACAACAAAATTTAGAAAATCCAAATCAATTTAAGGCAAAACACAGGTCTGTTATGATAGAAGCCATAAATATTCAAACAATAAGAAAAGCCCAACTATGCTTGCAGAAAATTTTTACAGCATTTAAGAAACGCTGCCAATCTAATCGAAGTCAAGCGCTGTCAAAAATGGCTTGAAAAAGTCAAACTGCTGATGAGCACAAAACATTAGCCTTTGAAATTGGAGATAACTAACAGGCACGTTTGACAGGCAGTCAGCTAGGAAAAATTTCACCAAGAGCAAGATATGTTAACACTATTATATCACATAATTCTTATTGTTCATTTTACAATTGGTTATTTTGACTGAAATTGGTTTCAAAGCTCATGGGCAGGTAGGCGTCAAGAAATTATGCCTAAGGTATAAAATAAAGCTAACCCAATATTTATGCCTAATATTTTTTTAACCTAAAATGGTAAGTACCGAAAATAAAACCGTCCTTGTTGACTTAAGCCAGCGTTTGATCTCAAGCCCTACAAAACAAAGGATACTTTCTTGAGACCGACCATCATGCAGAAGACTTACGCCCATGACGATTCGAATTATGAAGTTGCGCCAAAAATTAGTTGAATTTACAAATAGCAAATTAGTTTATTTGATTCGATTATCACACACTGAATAATTCCAACAACACATCAAAATCACTATTACGTAGAAAACGATTGACTATATGGACATGAGTGGAAAAATAGAAAAAATCTGGTGAAAATACAAAAGCAACCATTTTGTGCATTCGGCAGAAAAGAATATTAAAACCTATATAAACTGATATCTTTGGAGACCTGGCCAAAAGTTTGTAGCAAAATGAATATTGGGCGAATTCTTTGTGCAAGGTCACGGTCACTGTAAACCATGGACGCAGTATGGTTATTAACAAGTTTACTGTCCAATGTTTGGAGCCTCAAAAACTTCCCTAAGAAAAGACATATTCTTTTGAATTACTCATTTTATGTTTTCTTGAAGTCTTAAGCAAGTTGGCGCCAATGCCGATTGCAGCTGCAAAGTTTTTGAACAAAGTTCAAATTAATTTCAATGTGTTGGACAATAAAATGTTGTTAAAACATCATAGCACTTTTGTTAAGAAATGAATATTTCGGGCACGTATTATTCCAACGAAGGTTATCTTAAATCAAGCAAATGAAAATGCATTCGTAAAGCAGGATAGAATAAAGGTGAGCTAATTCATAAGTCTTTTTATATCTAATTAATTACATTAAATTTGACATCTCCCGTTTAGTTTGGTGCTTTGTGTTGTGCTCTGTTTTTCTCGTTCAGACGGAGCTCTCTGCGGGTAGATATCTGCGCATGGATTCTGCAGGGGCTACGCGCTGTTGTCCTTCGTTGCCTGTACCAGATTGACCTCCAGCTTGTACGTTGTGCTGTGATGATGAGGGATGTGGCTGTCTAGTCGCTACATCAGAGTAGTCTCCTAGCAATGCAAACACAGGTGATCGTCATCGAAATAGAATTCCTTGTTATTCTTTAATATATCAATAGTTTTGGCCACCAAAGAATGTCGCAGACAAAAAAACTTGCTTCGGAAAAAATCAGTATTGGCCATCCAAGAATTGTTTGCTTACAAGTAAAAACTTATTGGAATCCAAAAAAACAAGAATTTTATGGAAAATTACTGAGCAAAATCTTTGCAGATTTTTTGCCTCGAATGTCTATTGGTTGAAAACATTGCCAACTTATCATTGTCAATCCAAAATAAATCAGCGAAAAATAGCAGGGGACAAGCTTGCGTAATCTTTCACTGACTGCGCAAACGAGCTGCTAGAGAAATGCAGTCTGGCATTCAAAAATTGCTTGTTTTTGATAATAATATTGATGAATTTGCTAAGGATGCTAAAAATTTGCTAAGGATGAAATTTGCTAAGAATTTGCTAAGGATAAAAAAGTCTGGCATTCAAAATTTGCTTGTTTTTGATAATAATATTGATGAATTTGCTAAGGATGAATTTGCTAAGGAATAATAATATTGATGAATTTGCTAAGGATGAAAAAACATGTTGCTTTTAGATGGAAAAACTATTGGATTAGGACTGTTTTAAGTTTTTATACGACCGTGAAGATTAAGGACTGCCAGAAAAAAAACAAGAATGTTATGCCTGCGCAATGCATGAATCGCGAATAAAACACGTGTTTGCAGTATGTTTCCGTGCCATACTTGAAAACTGAAGTGAAGCTGCACTTCGCAAATAAAAACAACAAACGACAAAAGTAGCTCTAAAAATTCCAAAAACAGAGGCGAAGCAGAGCTTCACACCACTTCCGATACAATTCATACATAGCATGAAAAACAAATGCGCATAAAATAACGAAAACCAGAAGAAAAAAACCTAGACCTACCATAACTTTAATGTAAGTCGCAATTTGTCAACAAAGGTTCGAATTAGAAAAAAAAAACAATTAATCTAGAATAGCTGACATAAAGGCGAAGCTTTGCTTCGCAAACACAAGCGAGAACACGACAAAAAGCAGCTTTATAACGTACACCAAGAAAACACAAGCCTCGAATTAGCAAAAATTTGGCTACGTCTGAGATTCGAACCCCCGACCTTGAGATTAAGAGTCACACACACTTACCACTCAGCCACGGAAGCTTATAAGTCAATAGAAGCTAGAAGATTGAACACTAGCCAGAAATGTAGCAGAGAACAGATGCTATACAATTTCCAATGCTACAGTGAAATTTCCAAAAAAAGTGAACACTTTTTATGAACACTTTTCTTTGCGAGTTAGGTTGGAAAAAAAAGGTTCGTAATAACACACTAAGCTGACGCTAGTTGTAAGTATGAAAAAAGAATCCCAACAAAGATTTACTGAGCGGTCACAAATCTGACAAAACTTGAGCAGACACCCATTTAGCACAAAAAAGTTTCCAACGAAAAAAAAAAGAAACAAAAATTCTCCTGTTGTAGCTGTTGCAATATGTAGCTGTTGCTGATCTACTACATAATTGTACCTTATACATGGAACCTTGAGCATTAACTTCAATTCTGCTTTTTTTGATTAACATGAAGGGTAGATATTTTTCAAGGGTGGATTTTGCTAAGCAAATTTCAATCTCACCAGAAGGGTTAACGTTGTCCTGTTGCTGCAATGGTGGCTTAATTTTTTTATCCTTCCATCTCTGTGAAATTCTCGCTTTTCCTTTTCTGTCCAGATTTTTATCTGAGCCATTCATATTTTCTCTGCTGTTTTTCATCTCATTTTCGTCGTTCACGTCTAAAAAAAGTTCCACACTCTTATACTCAACTGAAAACTTTTGAAACACAAATTTAGTGTAAAATCATTAATAGCGGGACACTATTACTGTAAGAAGCATATAGCGAACACGGACATTGATTGGTACTTCTGGCGCATTAATCGAAATTTCATATGCAGTTGTCATACAATATGAGTCAAGTGGTAACAATAACAATTTAGCATTTGAGCATAGTTAAATTCTAACCATGCTGGAATTTTAAAAACCAACAAACCTGTAGAAGCTTGTCGAGATGCTAATGAAAAGGTGGAAAGTGAGACACGGATTTTGAGTGCAATAAATTTCATATGACTTCAAGTTAAGACTTCCAAAATTGTTTTCATATTCAACACAAACCATTTTTCATCAAAAGTACTGAAATTGAAAAGCAATCATTATTGAACATATTTTTAAGAAATTCCAAACCTGGTTAATATAATTATTTCGATCTTCAGATTCAACATTGAAGTCATCGGTAAAACAATAACTTGAGACGAATTTCAAGCTCGGCAAAACATGAAAAAATCATTGAAAATGGAGTTGCTGAACTCAAATCACCTTTATAGTTGCTTGGCTCTAAAGACGAATCGTAGTCCTTCTCCATAATGTTGTGAGCCTTGTCAAACTTTTTGACATCGATTCCGGGGAAATATTTCTGCAACTCGTTCTCTCTGGTCTCGATGCTGAAATCGTGGATGCCTCCCGAGTTGTCCGCTTCCACTGAGCTCGTCGGGTTTGGAACTCTCGGGATGCGGCGGGAGTCGGGTTCGTTCACTGATCGTGGCATGGGTACTGGGCGAAGATACTCGTCCTCTTCCACCTCTCGGAAGTGGGATGAGTTAGGATTGGGGCCCAGAGGCGGAGCTGATCCTAGAAGTGCAGGGGGTGGGGGCCTCTTCTGGGGCATCAGATACTCTTCATCACTTCCAGACTAAAATTTAATGGCAGGTGTTACACATATCATTCAAATATTCTAGGTACATATTACACATGAACTAATTGACTATAGATTTAAAAAATATAGCCAACAAAAAGTAGGATAAATGTAAAAATACAGAAACCGATAAAAAATTGGTTGAAACAATTTCAAGGAGTTTCGGGAAATATATATCACATTTAAGCTTTGAATTTCAAAAATTGTATCATCCATTTAGAGAAAACTGTATCATTAAGTAATTTTTTTACTCCGCTAAGAATTCAGAAAAATGTCGATTTTAAACTGGGAGTCATTTACACACCATTTTCGTGACCTTTACACTTTTCCGATTCGATAGAGGAGTTTACCTTCCTTATAACGAAGGAATTGAAATGAAACCAAAAATCAAACCCCGAAAAATCAAATTTCAGCGCGAACATGTTAGACTTTACCTGAAAAAAAGGAAAGATCATCAAGATCTATATCAATTAGAATCGTTTGCTTTCACATTTAAAAATGCTTCAAAATTGTGTCCAATTAATGGTACGAATAATGGTATCTTTAGAATAAAACAAGTGTTTCAACTTCTGCGCGAGTTGACTTTTCCTCAAAATGACATAGGATCTCTTATTTCTCACTGTGAACAACGTGATTATTATTACCGCGATTATATACTGAAATTTAAAAACAAAATCACCAACTGAGTTGAGTGGTGTTATTGATGAACATGAAACCAATGATGCTATTTTGAAAGCATTAAAAACTGAATTGTATTAAAAGTGCGAGCTTCACCTCAGTGCGCAGAAGTCTAAGCGTCTTGGTCTTATCTGAGACCGAACTCAATTATACAATACCTACAGATAAATTACCTGAAACAATAATGTGTACCATAACACGACCATAAGATTAACACAAAAGTCGTAAAATATTCCTGCTAAAGACTGTTGCGTAGAAATCTCAACTAGTTCATATTGCGAACAAGGGAAAAGAGTCTTCAAAAATTTCTAGAGCGAGTCAGCCAAACATAGCCATCAGAGTTTTCAATAACTCAAGTATACCGAAAACATAGCCAACAGGCAGTTCAAAAGACTCAATGAACGCAAGGGAAAAGAAAAGAAAAACTAACTTGTTTTATGAAAAAAATTCAACTTTACTATTTAAACATAAAAATATGACTTTAAAGCTTTTTGAATTTCAAGAACAATTTATAATTGACTTGTTTGATAAAATCAGGAGAAGACTGGACAATTTTGCTGTTCGATAGAGGAGTTTGCCTTCCGTTTAACAGAGGAAATGAACTGATTTTAAAAGAAATCAAAAGTCAAACCGCAAAAAAAATTAAATTCGAGCCTGACCAATTCAAGATTATCTGAAAAAAATCATCACGAACTATATAAGAGTTTGAACTTAAGATCATCGATTCTTAAAAAATATCGCTTTTTTTACAAACCAACCCAAATCGAGAAAACTGCATCAATTTTTCAGGTTGAATTGCTTTTTAAGTCCCATGATACCGTGCTTGAAGTTATTTTATTCCTCAATTTGGTTTTTTACAATCCGAGGGAATTAAATTTAAAATAATAATAATCAAGTTGGCCTTTTATTTAAAACATAATTCAGTCACCGCAAAACGATAAACGCTTGGTGGATACGAAGATCCTTTTGTCTGATCTCTCCAAGTCTCAGAAGGTGATTAATAATAATTTAAATCTCTGACAAATGTATAATTGGAGAAATGAATACTTTTTTTTCTTTCTTTCATTCACCTGGAAACCACCTTTTGAATTATGGTGTTTTTCATGATTATTAGACTTTGTTATTAGACAGTCCAATTTGCTTTCTTTTTAGCAAATGTCTTTGCCAAAAGCAGAGCCTCGAAAACAACTGAGTGTGAAAGAGACTTTTTCCTTAAATGAAAAAAAAAGAACACTCGACCTAAATAAGCGTCCTTACTTCGTTTAATACACATTTACTCCTTTGTTTAAAAAAAATATACAGCGAACATATTTCAGCATTATCTAAAAAGGCTGTTGCAAGCAGGAATTGTGTTGCAAGCAGGAATTGCGTTGCAGCAGGAATTATGTTGCGGAGTTCATCATAACCATTTCATATAAAAGTAAGAGTACTCACATCTTCCCTCCTAGGGACACTGTTGTCGCCCTGATGCTGTTCAAACCCACCCCCTTGAGCCCCCCGATTGGGCTTACCCCCTCTTGGCCCACCGTCAGCTACTCTCTCCCACGGCTTGACATCCGCCTCGGCGGTGGTGCGTTGCGAAAACTAAACAACCTCAAATCTTTCTTGTCTTTATCCATACAGAACTCTCAAGCAGCACAGTATTGGCTTATCGGCACATTTGCTGGTGTCTAAGTGACTGCATTATCAGCAGACCGAAAAAAAGCATCATTTTTAAATCTACCAAAAAATGTAATGAAGTCGGAATCATATAACGTATCTCTACAACTATCCCCCCTATGGTACCTAGTAACGAATTGCCACGCTAAAACAAAATTAATTCAACATTTACGCATATGAGAGTTTTGTACCCAACTTGCAAAGAGGGGCAAATAGTTAACGACTGCTTATATTTTCAGCTGGTTTCCATGGTAGCTAGTTCATGCTTCGATTGATTTATCCATGTTCTATTCTTGAAAAATTCCTATGCAAAACTGCTTTTTAAAGAGTGAAACTGATTGATTGACAAGCATCTGTTACAAGAATCTATTTAAATAGAATAAAACCTGTCAAAAAATTGATTTCTCTTCGTCTTCATTGTCGCGAATATTTTTATTCGGTCATTTTCGATTTTGAAACAAATCAATTAGGGAATATTTATCCGTCAATTGTCATAGATGATGCCAGCTGCCTATCTGAAGCTACACGTTAAATTGTCAAACTCATTAATTTTATTTCAATTAAAACATGCAGTTATGTCAAGCACATTCGCTCGTGAAACTATGAAAGTCATCTGGTGACCTAATAGTTTGGAGGCGAAAACATTTCACGATGACCTCCCATTACTGACACATTGGCACTAATCAATGATATCTGATGAATGTTGTTAGTTGAACATATCTACGAAAATGAGCCGTGCAAAACCAGAAACAAACCAGTCAAATCTTTATTTGAATGCAACCGTTCCCATTCATCACAGCTTGATACTTCCCGAGGGAAGATAAATCGCACTAGCAGTTCTAGATAATATATACGGACATAGTCACCAGAAAGCGAGCTATTTAAGAACTCATTACTTAATAAAATGCCAAAAAACTTAATTAGGAGTTTTCAAAAAAAACTAGATCATGAGATATTTTTTTCCTTTGGGAAATCATCAAAACTAAAAGCCAAGAGCCATTTTGCGCAATTATGGACTGATTGTTCGTTTAAAAATATGGTTTAAGAAAAATAATTTCAAGACAAAAAAGCAGTTGAAAACTTTTTATGATTCAGTTTTGAAAATTTTCTCGACTTTTTTAGGTCGACCAAATTGATTTTTTGAGCTCTCCAAAAACACTTTGAAGACCCTATATTGACCTATTTTTCTGCGCCGCAGGAAATTTTTTCAAAAAACAGGCCAAAAAGGCGTTTTTGGGCATTTTTTGGAAAATTTCGACCAAAAAAGCACTCACAACCTTCGTATATTCGCGCCGATAGCCCCTTTTAGAAAAAAATTAGGGTCCGTTACCAGAAATGGATATCTCAAAATAGTACAAAGGGGAGACCCTTTGGGTCGGCATGGGGTCGAATCCCTGAGGGAGGGGCGTCTCCCCCCCCCCCCCCCCAATCCGCTACTGAACCCAATTAAAGAAAACAGCGCCAATAGATAATTCTTTATTGCAACTGGGGAATCTTAAAAACTGAATCCATTTTCCGAACTGGATTTCATTCGCGCGAGGGGGTGAAATGACTTCCTTTTAGCAAATGAATTTGAATTCAACTTGCTAAGAAATCCAAAGTCAAAATTGTGAGTAATCATTAACTTTCACATATTGCACTTGCAGATGAATAAGATTATTTTTTCAAGGCACAAAACATTTCAGAAACAGGAGTGTTTGAAAATTAAAAATCATCTTAGATTTCAAATTTCAGATAATGACAGAAGTGAAAGTGCTATGAATTAAAGAGCCTAAGCTACCTTTCGCAAACACAAGCAAAAAAATTCTAAAAGAGATATTTTTCACAGATGCAAAGCGGATCTTTGCTGCACTAAAGTTATAAAATTAAATTCCTTAGTTCGGAAGATAGCCTGCTATAAAAATGAAATAAATAAATGCATTTTGTTGAAAAAATTGTTGGCTAAAATTCGAGAAAATTAATTTTTTAAATCAAACCTTATTATGCTGCTTAAAAATAATTTGAGCCAAAAAAAAACATAGCCAACTGACAGTTGGAAAAGAGAAGTGCACCCAGGCAAACAAAAAGAATACAGAAAAACTGAGTTGTTTTTTGAAAAATTTTCAGTTTTCGAATTTTGAAGAAAGAATATAAGCACTTACAGATTTTTGAATTTTAAGAACAGTTTGTGATTTGTGCTTTTTAATTAAACTAACCCATTTTGATAAAATTGTATTATTAGGTAAAGTTTTTTTCCGCTGGGAAATCTATGAAAAGAATTACAAATTCGAAACTAGATGTCGCTCACCTTTTTTTCTCACACCTTATACATGGTCGTAATTAGAGAGTAATATTTACCCAACTTTCAGCAGATGAAATTCAATTGAATTCAAAATGAGCATATATTTGTACGTGCATTCATAAATGCGATAATATGTAAGAAAGAACACCTGTAGTTATTAGAGCATTTAAAGATTTTTTCTTTAAAAAATCAGCAAGACCTCTATAAAAGTTTTCACTACAATCCTTACTCTTAAAACAGCAATTTCATAATGAATTAGAGATCTTCTAAAATTGAAGATCCCTAAAATAAAGTTATTTAAAGGAAAAAAGTCAATGATACACCAAAATATACCACAAAAAGTATATTGAGTATGAAATGTGCAACCTGAGCTCATTCATAAACACTTGATTAATGTCAAAAAGAACTCTGTTTGCTACAAATCAATTTAAATTCCAAGCCGATATAAAAGAAAAATGCCAATGCACGCAATGAAATAAAGAAAATGACTGACTTCTTTTTTTAAAAAAACTTCAACTTTTGAGCTTCAAAGAAAAATAAGATGGCCAAAAATGCTTCGAATTTATGATCAATCAAATATCTAAGCCGAGAACCAATGACGATAAAATTAATCTAAATTGAGAAAATTGGATCAAAAGGTAAATTCTTTATTACGCTCGAAAATTGGAAAATTATTATTCACTTTCGAAACTAGAAGTCGATCAAATTTTTCGTGACCTTTGCTGTTTTGATGATCGATAATGGAGTTTGCTACCCTTTTAACAAAGGATAAGAGCTCAATTTCAAAAAATCACGATTGAAACCGCCAAATATTAAATTTAACGTGAACGAAAACTTTTTCTGAAAAAAAACGGTGAATGACAAGGAGACGGGTTGGACCTAGACAATGAACTTAATGATGAGCAAAACAAACAAAGTGAAGGCAATTTGGCGGGTAATTGATAAACTAGGCCTTAAACGAATAATTGTTTTGCAACATGCTTGCCTTCAAATCAACTGCTGTTATAAATAGTGATTCAAAATGTGGTTAATAATTTTCTTTTAGTCCGGTACCTCTTTCTGCTTTGATTGCTGTACTGTCTAAAATAATTGCCTATTAACTTCACTGTCTGGATCAGCCTCGTTTCCTTGTCATTCACCGAAAAATCATCACAGACGTATCAAAATCATCACAGACGTATCAAAATCATCACAGACGTATCTTGATACGTCATTGACCAAAAACTCATGTGTTATAACCACGTACGTTGACAGATAAAAACAGCTTGTATGGTTTTTTAAAGACACTTTTGCACTGCTAATTCCGCCAGCCAGTGTAGTCGTAAAAACAAGTCACTCATACTACAAAAGTCGTCTCAATCACTGCTACTGACCTCATTCTCTACTTTGCATCATTATCTGCCACATAATTGGGAGCTAATTCATGTAATATCTTAAATCACACCACAGGCAAACTACAATAAACGCGCTATCCTCATTCCCTGCATACATGACTCAAAAGGAGATGAGAGGGGAGGGGAGGGAGCATACCTGGTAGCCGTCCATGACTACATATCCCTGGATAGCAGTGGGACTGCTTGCTGACGAATGCTTAAAACAACTCAACTGCAACACCAACACGATATGATTCAGTCACAGTTCACAACAGTTCAATCAATTATATGACAACAGGTCAACGTTTTCAAGTTTTTTAAAAAAATTATCTCAAACAGATGACAAGTTTCATGAAAACTGATATCAAGGTTATCATAAAAGCTTCGAAACGACAAAGCAATTATTGCTCATTTCGGCATGTTAACAGAAAAAATCTTGATGCTGTGAACCATTTTTGACACTCGCATAAATTACCTAGACATATCAAATGCGACAGCTCGAATGAAATTACTCTGATGCATCATTTTGCTAATTTGAAAACACTCCTCAATTCCATTGTCATACTTTAGTAGGTTGCTCTTTATTGCATGAAGAGGGGGCATATCAAATTCTAACAACCGCACTTGATGTGTCTGGGTAAATTTCGCCTTGACATTTATACTCAGTGTGTCTTCTTACATTTTCGTTACTTGGTGCGTTACTTTTGCCTGTAGAAGGCCTATACACGTCCATGTAATTCAGTGGCGGCGCATCATTGTTACCTACATGGTCACCGCCCATACCCATTTGAAGGGGCTGTTCATTTTGATGCTGCTGAAATTATTTCATCAGAAAAAAGGTACAGACAATCTCGCTCAGAAGGAAGCGCAAAAGCTCTTCGCATTTTTCAGAAAATTAGGAATCGAGTTTTCCCAATAAAACTTTATATTTTTGAGATGATAAGAGTTGAACTAAAACTATTCTGCAAACTACATTTTCCTGGCATGAAACATCAATTAACCACCCAGGACACTAGGACAAATCCCGTATGAATCAAGTCGGATCAATTACACCACGACAATAACTATGGTATTCTGAACAAAGCACGACCTAATTTGATAAACTAAATCACTAAGAAAGACTGGCTAGCATTCACAGACTTTTATCAAATTTCTCATTTTCAGATTCACAAATGATAATTAAATCCAAAAGACTGATTTAATAGCTAAATAAAAGCTGATGCAAAGTTACACCTCGGTAACACTATCAGATAACCAGGATTCTTTTATTTTCATTTGCCCATCAGAACTAAACTTATAAAACAAATCCTTTTTCTCGCACTATTCCGTATCTTTACTTATCCAACATGTACACTAATGAATAATGTTCATGAAGGTTCAACTTACCTCGTTGCTGTTGTTGCTCGTAGACGATAAATTGACAATGTTGCTCTGAAGTTTTGCAGGCGCCTCCAGAGGCTCATTTCGGTACTAAACCAATGAATAATTTAACAAGTGCAGCCATTTGCTGTGCAGCTAAGTTCGGTCTACAATTAACTTTGCAAAAAACTAAAAATTTGATTTTTTTTTCACTCGCCGTTTTTCTCGTAAACAAAATTTCGTATCGATTCTTCTCGACGGCGATCGATCAAGTCACGACCGGAGGTGCTTAAGCATGGTATCACAAAATGCCATCTGAGCTGTATTTGTGTTACCTAACTTTGTGTGAAAAGAAACAATCCCATTCAAAGTTCCTTCCCACAAAATGTGGTGTGATCAAAAATGCGCGTGAAATATTTCAAGACATTGAAAAAAGGTGAAGTTGTGATAGAGGGACCCCAAACACTACTACAATTGTCCATAAAATATATAGATCTTTTTCAGGTGTCAAAGAAATAATATACAAGAGGTTCATATTAACACGATGGGATAAGGCTAGCCTAAGTTATGAAACTGGATGCGTCTACTGTTTATCCGCTACTGTACTTATTGACAAAAAGTTCATTTGAGGGCCACTCCATCAATTGGTTTTTTAGGAACCCATCTTTTTTCAGGTACAATTTTCCAGAAAAAGAAGCTAGGACATCCCTTCAATTTAACTAACTGTTCATTTTTAACATGGTTTCGATAGCGGTATCCAATGCAAAGGTGCAATGGAACATATGCGCATTGTATATATTTATCAGTGGACCTTAGTGAAGAAGTACTTTGATGCACAATCTCTGGACTCTGCAAACCAGTTCTCCAGATATGTGAACGAGGGTCTGCTGTCGGGCACTGTCATCCAACCTACAACGCACCCAAACACAATCAAAAAGGAAACGAAGCTCAATCACATGAACGGTCCCTTACGCAGTGAAATCTTAGCTATTTGACAATTATCTGCCTATTTGTTTTTCGAGCAGTTTTTCTACTATTCTTGCCCAGCTAAGCTACAAATTCTGAAGAATGTGTCACGTTTCGCCCCGCACCTTTCGCTCCTCTTAAACTTACTGGCAAATTTCGCCCTACATTTACAAAGGCACTTTCAGTGTCAGATATTAGGGGTGCAATGATTGAAGGGCGAAATGTGCCACTAGATTTAAAAGGGGGCGAAATATGCGAGGCAAAAACGTGAGTAGATCAATTATGACCGATTCTGTCATGAACGTGTGACAGACACCAAAAGACCTCTTGTAAGTGAACTCTCGCGCATCATAATTGTCTATTCGGCAAATCTAATAAAACCTATTTTCCACTTGAAAAACGAAATTAACGTTGCCATAATGAGATTAAAACTCGGATGGCGAAAAGATTTGTTCCTCATACCTTAAATCATATCATACATACAGTCATGGCAACAAGCAAAACAACAATGTGGGGGAGTGCGTAAGTGGAAAAGAGCCCAAAACGATCACGTGTAAATATGAGCAAAACTAATCATGGTATAATTACACTTGAGCATCTGAGTGTATAACTCCAGAGAGCATGTTTGTGGCTGCACCAGTCGTCTGCCTCTGATCACGAGGTCTTTAACTGTCTGCAGATCCACTTTGCCGTATGGCTTGTCCACCCCATACACGAAGAACTCCCAGAGGGTCACCCCATACGCCCACACGTCACTCTTGTGCGAGAACAGACGACCTAAAACACAAAATACACACTCGCATAAACATAACACAGAGGCGAAGCGGAGCTGCGGATTACTTGCGATACATCACCAACATAGCATGGCGAGCTCATTTCTGAAAAAAAAAATAAAAAAAACATCTACATAAATTTTCAGATCATGATATGCCCCAAGTGAATTTCATTTAAAAAGATTCCTGTCGAGGAGTACAATTGTCTGTCTTAATCCAGCATTAGAGCAAAACTTACAGAGCGGCCAATAAGCCGAACAAAACTTTGATGTTGTTGTTGTTGTTGCCTAGGTGCCCGTAGTTTGGCCCTCCTCTTGTCCGTCATTTGTGGCTTCTTCAGTATCGAGTTGCAGGAAAGCAGCTGCCTCGATCGGGTTTTCCCAGAGTGCGTGGGGGGTGAGTGTAGTCGGGTTTGCGCTGCACCTGAATAGGTGACCCGTTGTGTGGGTTTCTGAGTTGCACTGTGGGCATGTTTCTGGGGTTGATTCGTCTAGTCTGTGTAGGTAGCTTTGAAGGAATGGGGAGTAACCGCTCCGCAACTGGGCAAGGGTCCGTCTGGTACCTCTCGGCAGTCGTAATTCATCATTGCTCAGTTTGGGGGCTGGTTCGTCGAGCACTTTGTTGTTGTCCCGGTTGTCTAGGGCGTCTTTGACCTCATTTGTGTGCACTTTTTTGAGGAGCCCTCTGTAGTCCTCTTCGGTAACGTGCGTGTCGTCGTCTTCTTCTGAATCGGATGTTTCGAGGAGTGCAGTGACGTACCTCTCGTACCTGCTGAAGAGCGTTTCCTTCATGTTTCTGGGCGGTTCCGGTCGGTCTAGCAGCCTGTTGCCAGGGTGTCCTTCGAGATGATGGGCTAGCTGGTGCTGGACTGCTTTCATACGGATATGCCGCCTGACAGGTAGGATTTTCGTCTCGTCGTGCAGGTGCTGGATAGCGGTCATCGTGGTGCATCCTGTGGCCACTCTTAGGGCTGAGTTTTGGACTTTCTGCAGTGTTTCTACGTGGGTCTGTGCAGCGATCGGAGTCCAGACTGGTGATGCGTACTCTAAGACGGGCCTGATGAAGGCTTGGTAGGCTACTATGAGGGTTTCTTTGCTCTGTCCCCAGGTAGTTCCTGCCAGCGCTTTCAAGACATTCACTCTGCTCCTTCCTCTAGCTGCGGCTAGTTTGCAGTGTGGGCCGAATGTCAGGGCTGTATCGAAGGTGACGCCTAGTATTTTCGGTGTTTTCGCCAGAATGAGGGCTTTCTCGTTGATCTTCACGTCTGGTGTGATTTTGTGTTCTTTGGTGCTGGGCGTGAAGAGCGTGACGGAACATTTCGGAGTTGAAATCTCGAGAGTCTAGAAAATTGCAGAGCGTCGTCAGGTAGTTGTTGATGTCTTTGCTTAGTGTCTCTATGTCGGTCCCAAGGGCGAAAACTGTGAAGTCGTCGGCATAGGATACTAAGAAAATTGTCGGTGGAGGCATTGGAGCATCTGCCACGTAGAAATTGAACAGCGTAGGAGCCACAACCGATCCTTGTGGAACTCCAAATCTGACAATACGACTGCTTGACAGCGTGTCTCTGAACAGTGTGCGGGCCTGTCTACCGTGCAGGTACGTGGCTAACCAGCGTACAAGTGCTCCTGGAAGCGTGGACTCGTTAATCAGCTTGAGGAGGGTAGCGTGACACACAGTATCGAAAGCTTTCGAGAGGTCTAATGCAACGAGAACAGTACGGGCAGCGGGTTTTCGTTGATTGAAGCCGTCTGCGATTGCAGTTGATAGCTCATTGAGCGCTGTGACTGTGGAGTGTCGCGGTCTGAAGCCGTGTTGATGTTCTGCCGTCTTGAGGTGTTTCTGGAGTATCGGGAGAAGGCACTTCTCGAGTATCTTGACTGCGGGGCAAATAAGTGATAACGGCCGGTACGAGGCACTCTCGTTGGCGGGTTTTCCTGGCTTCAGTAGTGGAATAATGATAGAAGTCTTCCAGATGGCGGGTATTTGACTTCTTGAAATCGACAGGTTGAACGTGCTCGTCAGATGTTCTATGGCTTCGGGTCCCTGGTGTTTAAGATAGATCATTGTGATGCCATCTGGGCCTGTGGCTTTCGAGTTTTTCGCTTTCTTCCAGTGCCTTGATCACCTGGGTTGTGGTGATTGTCGGATGGTCTTCGAGGTACCTGTTTTGGATACTCTTGGTGATGGTCCTGTAGGCTTGCGACGTCGTGTGGGGCCTCGGGGTGGTGAACTGCTTGTTGAATCTGTGTGCCAGGTCTTTTGCGGAGGTGAACGTTTTCTTCCTCTTTTTCCCCTTGAACTTGATAGGCTGGTTTCTCCGCTGTTTGCTCGTCTTGTTGTCCAGCGCTTTTATCGTCCTCCAAAGTTTTGCTGCGTCAGTCCGGTAGTCGAAACTGCTGACGAACTCCCTCCATTTGGCTGTTTTGCTCTGTCGGATGGCCATCTGAATGCGGTTGTTCAGACTCTCGATCTCCGGTGAAGTCGGGTCATGAGAACGGATGTTGTCACGTTCGATGATCCATCTGGAAGCTGACTCCGGAAGTTGTGGTATCACATCCTTGCGGCGGCCAGAAGGGATGTGATGTTTGGATGCTGTATTGATGGCGTCTCTCAGGAGGCGTTCGCCAGAGTACACATCCGGGATCTGGGGTTCGCCCAATCCCAACCCCCCCCCCCCTAGTTTGACTTCTGCAGCTCACGCCAGGCGCGCCAATTAAGGCCTTAGAAGGTATGTTAATACTCCTGGATGAGTGTATGATGGTTTCCAATTCGGCTGAGAAAGCTTCCCAGTCGGCCTTGGCGAGATTGGTGTAGGTTTTCTTGACTGATCTAACTGGTGTCGTCGCGGAGCTCATTGCCAGTTTGATGGTGATTGGCAAGTGGTCAGAGCTGAGGGATGTCTCAGTGCTCCATTCTGCTGAGGTTAGCAGAGACATTGAGGCTAAAGAGACGTCCGGTGACGTCGGCTGGTTGTTAGATGGGAGCCTAGTGGGAGTGTTTTCATTGAGAACTCCGTAGTCAGAAAACTCGATTTCCCCTGCTAACTTGTTGCCTCGAGTGTCGACTAGTGGTGAGTGCCAAAGGGGGTCGTGCGCATTGGCATCTCCTAGTACGAGGGTATTGTCTGTTTTCAGAAGCGGCTCTATAGAGGCGCTGTACCCTTCGGGGCATGAGCTAGTGGGTGGGATGTAGTAATTTATGACCCTGAACGAGGTGTTATTGTGGTCTACTTTGATACCCATGCACTCCATAGTCCCATCTTGTGGTAGTTGCATTGGGGTGTACACAATGTCTTCGTGGATGAGGAAGGCCAAGCCGCCTCCTTCTCTGTTGGCTGGTCTGTCTTGACGAAGTACTGTGTACGAACCAAAGTTAGGGTATCTGCTTTTAGCAGTGAGTTTGGTTTCTTGTATAGCAGCGAGTTTGATATCGTGTGCATTGAGGTATGCTGCAATTTCCGGTGTTTTGCCCCCAATGCCGTTGCAGTTCAGTTGTAGGATGTTCAGGGTAGGCATGGGTGTCGTGGGTGTCGCGTGGGTGTTGGCGTTGACCGGAGATGCTGGAGTTTCTGGTGTGCAGGTGATGCATGTCCAGTCAAATACCACTTCGGAACTGTCTGTAAAGGGTGTGCATGGGAAGTGCGCGTGCTTCCGACAAGATGAGCATTTGACGCTTCTTTTCTTGTTGAGGGGCTTGGCGCAGTTGCAGCACTTTTGCCTTTTAGGCGGTCCCGAGTTGCTTTCAATACCAGCTCGGATGAGAAGAATACGGAGCAGGGTTGCTGGCCTGTGCTGCTCCGTCCACAAAAATACGGACTGGGGATGGACCTCTCTTCGTGCACGAAGGAGGGTTTTTTGTCCGGCGGGTTTTGAGGTCCGCTGAACGGCCATTTGCACCAACTGTCAGCTGGTGTTGGTTCCACCACGAAAAGGCGGCCTTGTCTGGAACCAACCAAGTCTAACAAAACTTTGATAGACAATTTTTGCGCCAAAAAATGATGTCTTAGGAACCTGAGCACAGAAAAAATTGAAACTCGATGTTAATAAGTCCTTTTAGCATGAAAATTATACTTTTTTGCTCAATCAATGACAAAATGTGAGGCTCTATGGCGGAACTTTTTAAGCCGATTAAATTTTCAAATGAAAAAAAAATTACACAAAGTGTTGGTAATTAATCAATCAAGATGATAAACATGTCAATCAAACAGATCAATAAACTCAAATAAAAATGAAAAAAAGTATATTGCGTTGAAGCTCTCTAAATTTCAAAAATACGCATAACAAGGTGATATATTACGATAGTATTTATAGTTTATTTCTAAAGCCTCAATTTTTGGTAAAAGAAGTCTAAAAATTGAATTTTTGAATAACATTTCATCTGGCAGAGTACTGTATTTACAAAACCTATCTTAGTAGTAATTATAACTAATTGAAACTGAAATGACTATATTGCTCATAATAGTTCTCAAATACTCAAAATTACCACCTATTGTAACATATCACCAAAAAAGTTAGCTGGTTATTGCGCAAGTAACACTGAATGTTCCGACCATGAAACAAAAAGGATAACCGAAGACTGTGTTCAAATTATTGTCGTTTTTTTTCGGCGTGGTGAGATAAAAGCTGCTGGACAAAAAACTGGAGATTAGGTAAATTCGACAGTTATAATAAAATAAGCAAATTGAAAAACAATTTTTGTAGAAAAATAACTAGGAAAACGAAAAAAAAAGTTTTTCAAGTTTGCAGTTTTCTGAATTTTCGAAATTTTTAATTCCAAAAAGGCGCTAAAATACTCAAAGAAACTGCCAAAATTTTTTAAAGTGGTTCGAATCACGACTAAAACGGCTTTAATATGTTATATCACTCAACCCAGTCCGATGATTGTTTGTGGTACCTGATTTTGCGTGGAAAAAAAAAGAAAATAATCTAAAACAAACCCGAATACAAAGTTCCTCCCGGTTTCAATGGTCGGAACAAAAATAGCGAATCAAAGAAAACTGACTCAAAAGGTAAATTTTTTATTCTGCTCGAAAATCAAACGAAGATCAACTTTCGTACATAAAAGTCATTCTTTGACGTTTGTCAGGCCATTTCGCTTCTCAATTAGAGAGCATAATTAGCCTGCTTTTTGTCAAATCAACTTGAATTGAACTTGAAAAGAAAACATCAAATCTGATTTTTCACCGAAAAAACATAGCCAACTGACAGTTGTTACAACAATTTATAGTTGACAATTTTTTTTTTGAAATTGACCCAATTTGAGAAATCTGAATCAATACGTGAAGATTTTATTTCACTGAGAAATCTGATAAATAAATTTCACTTTCGAAACTAGAGGTCGATCACGTTTTTTCGTGACCTTTACAATTTTCTGTTCGATAGTGAATTTTGCTTTCCTTTTAAATTGAACATGCACTGAACTCAAAAAAAATCACAAGTCATAACTCGAAAAATCAAAACTGAGCGTGAACAAATTTTAACTCACTAATCTACTCTTAATTATGGGCGCGAACAAAATCAGAACTTTTCCAGACTGAACAATTTTTAAACAAAATCAGAACTTTTCCAGACTGAACAATTTTTACACCGAGGCGAAGCTGAACAAAATCAGAACTTTTCCAGACTGAACAATTTTTAAACCGAGGCGAAGCTGCGCTTCGCTAATACTAACAATAACACAAAAAAGAACTCTATAAAAAAGATAAAAATTAGAAATAAGACTCGAATTAGTGCAATTTCGGCTACGTCTCAGATTTGAACCTGGGAAATATAGATTGAGAGATTTTTCAATCATTCAGTCACGGACGCTTAATAGGCACAAAAGACTAGCCACAAATAAAGCAGAGAACAGATGCTGAGCAATTTCCAATTCTACAGTGAAATTTCCAAACAAGTGAACACTTAAATTTAATTTGCGAGTTAGTTTAGAAAAAAGAGGGTTCATAATAATACACTAAGCTGTTCGCAAGTGTAAATAAGCCTCGAAATAGTAAAAAAAAAATTGACTTCCATCCTGCGACCTTGAGATTAGGAATCACACGCACTAACCACGGACGCTTAACTTTTGACAAACACTTGCCACAAATAAAGTAGAGAACATATGGTATGAAACTTCCAATGCTACAAATCGTGATTATAGCAAACGGTCCACCAAATGCGCACTTTTAATTGCGAGTTAGCTTGGAAAAAAGAAGGTTCGCATTGATACACTAAGCTGGCTAGTGTAAAGACTTTTCCTGAAAAAACATCACGACCTATATAAGAATCTTCACTGCGTTCATCAACTCTTAAAAACCAATTTACGCAGTATCCAAGCAACCAAAACTCTTTAATTAAGGATCGTGATTTTTAGTTAACATTTAGAGGTTTTCTAATAAAAAAAATATTCGTTAAACATATTCTGAGCTTTTTACAGAATGCTGAGACTGCTTATTAGCGACCTCAGACTTATGCTTGCCAATCTCGCTTAGCCGTAATGATTATATGTACTTGAAAAAACTCAATTTTACTGGCTTATAAAAATGATTTTCTACCTGTGAGACACTCTTTGGCCAGCCACCTGATGGGCAGTTTGCTGTCGTCTGCCTGGTAGTCCTGCTCGTCCTTGTCCGCGTCCAACAGTTTAGACAGGCCGAAGTCAGAGATGCGGATCCTTTTGGGGTCTTCCACCAACACATTACGCGCAGCCAGGTCTCTAAACAACGCACTCACTCATACGCAAAAATAACTAGTTCTTCACGTAAACTAATTTGACCACACTTAATTTGGCTTTCTCTGCTTTTTTTGAGGCCGGACCAACCGTGGAGGAGGGGGAAGTCATCCGTTTCTCCGTACTCGGTTCCACCTTAGGGAGGCGGATAACACAAGGACCCCTTCAGCCGTGACCGCATTGGGACTCGAACCCACAACCCTCACATTGAGAGACGTTTGCCTTATCCACTCGGGCACGGACGACCGTCTTTTGCTCCTTGTCAAGCCGTACCGCTAAATAATTTCAACGCCATGGAAAAAATAAAACATGTGTACCTGTGTATCATTCCGAGTGATTCCAGATGTGCCATTCCGGCTGCCAGCTGTCTGGCCCATTCCATGAACTGATATGACGTCATGATGTCCTTGTGGCGCACTATGAACTGAATGGAGCCTCCGTGGGTCATAAACTTGGTGATCAACATCATCGGTTCGTTCATGGAAATGGCGATTAGCCGAACAAGGTTGTCGTGGTTCACTGTAGCCATCAACTTAGCTTCTTCCAGTAACTCATTGCTCTGGTTGGCCAGTCTGGGGTCATTTTTCAGCTCTTTCACAGCAACTGGAATCTCAATGTTTTCATTTGGAGGCTTCCACAAAGCACTGTAGACGCATCCAAAAGCACCTTGACCTATTACTTGCTTCTTCTCAATGGCGTCAGGTTCCACAATTAGAAGCTGACCTCGGTTCGCAATGCCCTAAAAGATCATTTTGCTATTCTGCAATCTCAAATAATAGCCAAATAGAAGAAATTCATCACTATTTACGAAAGTGTTTTATTTTGTGCCTTGTTAGCGAAACCCTAACAATCTAGAAGTGTTCTGAAAATTTATCTGGGCAATCTAGTATTCTAGAAAGGGGTTGGTGCTGGATTTCCAAAAACATATCAAAAATTTTGTTGAACCTCTTTTCAAAATAGGTCAAATGGCTTTTCCAAGCTGTTCCACAACACAAGGATCCTATTTTGAGCTAAGATTCAGGTTTCAGCTAAGATTTGGTTTCTAAAAGAAATAATTAAACACTCATGTACTGGCCTCATGTGGCGCTGCTCACAAACATCTAAAATCATTGTGGAAAAAAAAACAGCAAAGGATAGCCGCTTTCAAATATCAATTGGTTTCTCACCCTGATGTTAGACTTTCCTTCGCCCACGTAAAAGGCCCTCAGGGCTTCAATTTTCTTCCACTCTGTCTTTCTGTGGCGTTTGATGCCGTAGATGATCAAAACAATCAGCAGCACCAGCAAAGCCCCCGATATCATTGGAACCAACGCGCTGTAAAAATATTATTGCATAATACCGGTCTGATGCCAAAGATTTCTTGGGATCTCGAGAAATCTCCCAGCTCTTCCCGTTTTTGCCTCTCAGAAAATTATGGAAATAGATCTTGTTGGACGAAAAATTTACTTCATAGTCAATTTTACCTGTGTTTTCAGTATCTTGGCTCCTGTTTATAAATTCTTCATATTTGCTCAAAACGAGAGATTCAGGTAGCACAAAAATACAAGAGTGAGCTTTGGAATTGCAAAAGGAAACAAACAAGCTTTTTTGTCATTTTCTGATTAAAACTTTGCCCGATTTGCCTATTTTACTATGACTGCCCATTATGCCTAAATTCAAGAGTTCTAGGTTTTTATCAGATCATTTTAACACACGACTGACAAAAAAAAACAAGTTTTATTTGAAACAAAAAAAAACATAGCCAATCGAAGATTGGAAAAGAGTAATGAACGTAAGCATTGAAAAAAAACTGACTTTCTTGAATCTCAAATTTCGAATTTCAAAGAAACCCTTTAAGCTCTTTGAATTTCTACGACAATTTATCATTGGCGCTTTTTTGAAAACATGAGCCTAACTTGAGAAAACTGGATCAATCCTCTGGGAAATCTTAAAAATAAATTCCACTTTCGAAACTAGAAATTGTTCACGTTTTTTTTTCGCGCCATTTCCACGTTCGTATTTGGAGAGTGCTAATTACGTCACCTTCTGCAGATGCATTTCAATTGAACACAAAAAGTGCATATATACCTAAGTGCATTCATAAATGCCTCAATATGTATGAATGTTTATCTGTAGTTATTAGAGACACTTTTCCTCAAAAAAAAACACAAAAAAAGCAGCAACACCTATATAAAACTCTTCACTACGTTCATTGCTCTTAAACGTGAAATAGCGTTTAATGTATTTCTTAGGAGTATGGTCGGAACATTCTGTGCTACTTGCACAGCCACCGGATATCCTTTTTTTCTTAAGAAATTTTTACTCTCTAACATCAGTACGACATTTTCGAGTTAACAAAGCTTCGCAACTTGTTAAGTGAAAAATTATATAAAACTAAAAAAGAAAACAAAAAATTATTTTTTTTGCACTAATTTTACGTAGAAAACTAGTTTGAGAAGCATAAAAAAGATTTTTTTTTTTAATTACTCAGAAAATTACCGAGAAAAAAAAACAAATTATTATAAAATCGCGATGTTTCGAAAACTAAGAGGTTCTGGAGTTCCATATTTTCCCAGAAAATCCTATCTCCCATGGGAACATCCTTCGACAATTAACCACGGGGTAAAAAAACTTAAAAACTGTCTTTTACTTAATATAAATTAATAATTAAATATAAATTTACAATAAATTACAAATCATTAACATATCTAACCAATTCAAAATTTTGAATCAAAAACGATTATTTGAATTTGTGGTAAAAAAAACATTCTCCTAAACCGCTCAGCATTGGAATTGGAGCATAAATTAGATCAAGTTAGGTCGAGAAAAGTGAACTCGTATGACAATATGAACATTTGTTTGATTAAATGGTAGTATAACTTACAAGATGAGAAGCTTTGTAACGAAGGACATCTCGCTCGGGACAATTGCACAACACCAGTCCATGTTCTTGTATGGCCCACTTTTAACACACCTGCCTTTCTCATACCCCACTGGACAAGTGGTCGCACACTGGGCGTCCATTTTATCCAGTAGATTGTTGTCTAGTGCCCCCTGTGGGGTCATGTACCTCTCTTCATTCTCGTAAAAGGTCCCGTTAATAATGAAGATGGCTGCCATGCCAGTGACACATCTGGGCTTACACGAAAACGAGTTTTGTTCTGCGTAGTAACCAAGGTAAGTTTCCTAGAAAAGCAATCACATTAATTACATTTTTAGCATCATTTTCACTTATTTATAAAGAGGGTATTTTGCCTTCCATTTGGGAGTAGGAGTGAAACTAAGAGAAACGCAAAAAAAATCATCACGATCTATATAAGAGTCTCAACTACGTTCATTGATTCTTAAAAATGGCAAATGAGAGGTTTCAAATAGCAAAAAAGAGATAAAATGAAAAATGGAAAAACTACAAAAATATCCCCTTCAGGAACCAAACCTCCGACTACCTACAGCTTTGAAGTCGTCTGCTTTAGCAGTTGAGATACATGCTACATGATGTTATCCAACCAGGAGGTGAAGCAGTTTCTACATAATATTATCTACATAATGTTATCCAAACAGGAGCTGAAGCCTACACAAGCGAAAAAGCGGCAAAAGGGAGCTTTGAAATGCACAAAAACACAAACTTGTCGCTAAAACCACATTCTGTCTATTTCACAAGTTTTGCATGTAACAACTTGGAATGTGATAAACTAAAGACAAACAAATAATCTTCGCCTGTAAAATTTTGGAATTCGAAAAAACCAAATTCAGTATAAATTAGACAGTTCAAAAATTTAGCAAAATACAGTGCTGCTTTAAATTATCCGGACAAAATTTTCAAACACGTTTTTTTTCAAATTGGGATAAGTTTAGACAAAAATTGAAGAGAACAAAAATTGTTTAGAATTTCATCAGAATTAATATGTTGCAATTTTTTTCCCGAAATTCTCAACTAAAATTTTACCCCAAAAATGGGTTATTTTGGCTTTTTTCAATTATTCAAGAATTACGCTGAAATTATTCTGTTAATTGACGAAGAATATGTACCAGAAGAAGCCTCTTACACAGCCCAACAAATTCTAGAAAGGTTAAATCTCCAAACACCTGTATAAGAGAAAATATTTTTGCTTGATAGTCAAGAAACGTGTTTTTACTATATAAAACCCAAAATCTTTGCTTTAAAACAAATTATAAACAATTTATTCAATTTTTGGAGATTTAAATCTTCTAGAACTTTGTTGGGCTGTGTAAGAGGCTACTTGTGATATATATTCTTCATCAATTAACAAAGTAATTTAAGCGTAATTCTTGATTAATTGAAAAAAAGCAAAAATGACCTATTTTTGAGGTAAAATTTTGGTTGAGAATTTAGGAAAAAAATTAAACTATAATAATTCTGATGAAATTCTAAGCAATTTTTGTTCTCTTCGTTTTTTGTCTATCTTAACCCAATTTGAGAAAAACGTGTTTGAAAATTCAAATTTTGTTCGTTTTGTCCGGATAATTTAGAGCAGCACTGTACATTGATTTACAAGTAGTCTTGAAATGAAATTTTTGATCCAATTTTTGAAGACAGTAAGAAATATATATGCTCGGGGTGTTTTTTTTATTCAGACCATTTCTCAAAAATACTTCCTCGTGATCAATCCACGGATCTTCGAGGTCCCAGAAGGGTCGCGCTCACCACTAGACTATCCTGACTTTACGATTGCTGAGGAAGTTTATGGAAGCTTTGCCCTGATACGAGCAGTTTTGCCATTGATATGCTGTTTAAAGCATATATCATTTTTCGGTTCATTACATGTATTACAAAAAACACAAACTGTATTAAATTTTTAGTTATCAAATAACAAAGCACATGCTATAGAATAGCCAATTCAGCCTGCTGCAAAAGTGCCATAAAAAGAAGCACTAATAAATGCTAATTGGGTTTAAGAAAAAAATGCTTCGCAGTGTAACACTACGCTCCGCCGTGAATACCCAATATACTGGTTGGTTTTAACCAAATTTGTGCTACACAGACTAAATTTGACACTTTTGAGAAGGTGACCCTAGTTTATGCGTCTTGGGTTAGAAAACCAACTAAACTCGTAGTATATCAAACATATATCTTTAACGTAATATTTTGCGTAATTAAACATGTAACCATCAGAATCAGCTCAGGATAATCCCAAGGGAAACTTTTTCTGGCGTAAAACATATTTTTCATGTAGCGAGGACTGTGGTGGATTTGAGTAATTTACCTCGTTATCAAATTCCACGGTTTGTCGCTTGGTATGCTTCATTACTCTAAAGGGCTCTTCGTTGCTGCACACTTTGAAACATCCCAGTTGAAACTGAAAAGAAGTGAGAACATTATTTTTAGACAAAGGATTAAAATCCGAAAAATAGGAAATGAAATGCAGACTTGATAATTCACAAGCACAAGCATATATATTATAACTATAAACAAAAACGTTCATCAAATATACCAATCAACTTATCAGGCTTTGGATTTTTCCATATTATCATGTAAAATTCGTCTATTATGATAGCACTCAATAACTAAACAATCCCCTAACTATAAAAAACTAACAGAAATCCTTCAAAAAACAATTGAATCAACATGTTCTACAAAACGAATCAACATTATAATTTACAAAGTTTTAAAACGCTTACATAGGTGCAGTCATTTGAGAGAAAAGATGCCAAATTATTTTGAAAAGGCGAATCAACAATCAAGGAAAAACTGCGGCGCATTGGTAGTGATGATTCCCAGCGATTATTTAATTACGTTTACAAATCGTACGTGCGGTGCAATTTGCGAGGTGAAGTGAGCTCTTGTAAGATAGAAATAACTTAGTTAACCTTAAATAATTAACTTTTGGATGCAGTTCTAGGTGAAAGCAAAATTAAAACTAGCAGATATTACTGTGGTTATACTAACTCGCGAGAGACACGATTGCTCTCCGAGACATCTGTAGTTGCACATCTCGCACACTTTCATTTCGTTCTTGAACTTGTCTGCCGGACACTGGGACACACACTGGCTCTCGTCTATGGCGTACTTGCAGGCCACACACTCTCTCGCGGACCGTCCGTAGCATGGCCTCGCATAGTGACTCGCTTCTTCCTCTTTGTTGTCACACTCAGAGGAACAGACCAAAGCCTCCTCGTCGTGCGCATCTTAAGCAAAACGGTACAAGTGTGATAGAGGGGTCCCGAGAAACTAACCGGGTCCCTAATGTAAATAGAGAGGCGCAAAACTGTTCAATTTATTGCTTCAGTGATGTCAATTAAAGTACAATATGTTGGCGCAAATAAGACAGTTTAATTACGTTTGAGAAAAAGACCGAGCGGCGCATATTGATTTTTTCATTTGCAGTGTTTGCTCAAAATTAGAGTGATTTAGGACCCCTCTCTCGAACATTCACCAGCAAAACAAATAAAAAAAATTTAAAAAGGAGCTAAGAAAGCAAAGAAGCAACTAGAAGGCAAGGGTTGCACTTCACATGCACAGGGAAAAAATTCTACTGCTCGATTTGAAGATACATTTGAATGGGTCCAACAATAACATCTTTCACGGCATGGAACCGATCCCTAAATCTACTAATTTGAAATAATGCTTCTTAATATATAAACGGAGCTTGGAAACTCGTGTCAATAAAATATTAAGACGGGTGTGAAAACAAAACAAAACTAAATAACTAAAACTTAACTACATTCAAAATCAATAAACAGCGGTAATTGAAAGTCTGCAAAATCAATAGACGAGCAACCGAATACTTAAGCACGAGAGAATAAATCAAAAACCCAGCATGGATTTAGGCATGTATTTACTGGGTTCGAAGAACCATATACTTATAACAACAAGAATCAACAATTAGATTTAACACAGAGGCGGAGCAGAGCTTCGTATCACTTATGATACGATTAAAACATTGCTTACAAGATACTGAACCTAGCCAACTGAAAGTTGGAAAAGAGTAATGAACGCTGAAAAACTGGAAAAAAAAACCGTCAACTTTTTTTCAAAAATCGTCAACTTTTGAATTTCAAAGAAAAAATAGATGGCCTTGAAGCTCTTTGAATCACTTTTATGTTAAAATTAACCCAATGTGATTAAACTGGATCCATCGTTGAAACTTTTATTTCGCTGGGAAATCTGATTATTAATTTTCATTTTCCAAATTAAAAGATGATAACGTTTTTCGTAACCTATACACTATTGCTGTTCGAAAGTTGAGTTCGCTTTCCTTTTAACAATAGAAATGCACCAAGCTTAAAAAGAAATCTCAAGTCATGACGCGAAAAATCAAAACTGAGCGTGAACAAAACCTGAAAAAACTCCTGAAAAAAAAAACGAAAAAAATCAGCAAGACCTATATAAGAGTACTCGCTACATTCATGTTCATTACCCTTAAACAATGAATACATTTTTTTTTCAAAAAAGAAATGAACACAGACAACAGAAAGTTGGAAAAAAGCGTGACACAAGGAAACAGAAAAAAATCATTGACTCGTTTTTTGAACAAAAACTTCAACTTTCTAATTTTCGAGAAAACTATTTTTGGCCTTGAAGCTCTTTGAATTTCCAAATATTCTATAAATATTGAAATTTTTATAACAACCCGGTTTGGGAAAACTGAATCAATAAGTACAATTTTTATTCCGCTGCGAAATCTGAAATCCACAATTAAAACTAGAAGTCGATCATGTTTTCGTGATCTTTACACTTTTATTATTCGATAGTGAAGCTTCCTGTCCTTTCAAAAAAAAGAATTGAAGTACGCTTTAAAAGATATTAAAAATCAAAGCGCGAAAAACCAAAGTTTACCGTGAACAAACTTTAAAACTTACTCCTGAAACAAAATCACCAAAAGCAATACAAAAGTGTTCACTACGTCCAAAAGTGTTCACTGAAAAAGTCCAAAAAGCTATATTTTCAATTATTTCATACCTTTGACTCGGATGAAGCTCATAAGCAGATTGAGCAAGCTTTCAGAACTAATGACCGAGCGACAAATAAGGCGAAAAAAACCCTTGTTAAGCCAAAAACGAAACTGCAGTCATCAAAAAAGTCAATTTTTTAAATCATATTATTGACGACACATCCCTCCTGAAAGAAGCAAAAGCATTTTTATAAAATCGCCCGTAAGCTACTCAACATAAATTGACTAAACCGATAAAAGAAGAGCCAAACCAGTTTATCCGATTTTTTTTCAAAATCCGAGTTGCCAAATTTCAAGCAACAGAACTAATTTCAATTATAGTAAAAACAGTTTGAAAAAAACGCGTTGGGAAAAAGACCACTTGAAAGCGTAATAAATAATATAAATTGCACAAATTTCCAATAGGTTGTTTTCCTAACAAGCTTCAAAAAGCCATAGTGAAACCGACGCTGAAGAAACCAACACAACGACGACGCAAACCTGTTGCTACTACAAGACTCCTTAATAGAATCTTTAAAAGAATTGCAGCTAAGCAATTGAAGCATTATATCAGCAACAATTTGATGAACAAGCGAGTTTACTGCAACATGTCTCATGAAAAGTTTTCATGAAGTTTTAAACGAACTGGATGCAAACAAAATTGTTATCTTTGTGGATGTTGATCTCTCTGCTGAGTTTTACAACCTTGATTTCAAAACATTGAGTGAAGAAAGATGTCGCCAAAAAACGTGTGGAAATAGAAAACTTAAGTTTTACACACAGGGCGAAGAAACCAAATATTTTTTGACCAAAAGAAAGGGAAAATTTTATCATAGAAAAACCAACGAAAATCTGAACTCTCAGAAAAATTTCAATTCACTGAAAGAACTGCTAGGAAAAAGCAAATAGGCAAAATGTTCATCAATTGGTGATCCTATGCATTTAGTTAAAGCTTTTAAAAAACTTAAAAGATGACAAAACTAACAAAATAAGGAAATCATTTTCAACAACCAAATTCGGAAACTCAGATGCCCAGTCGAATCACCAAAGCTCGGCAAGAAAATTTAAAAAGTCAGCTTAAAAACCATTAACGCTCTGCCAGACTGTTCATGTGAACGAGATCCTTTACACGCTTAGTTTTTCAAATCTACGCAAAAAAATTGAAAAGACAATCTTCTTTTAGCCCTAAACACAAGTTTAAGACGGAGTTTTCCCAACAAGCTTCAGAAAGCCAGAATGAAATCGACACTAAAGAAACTAACACAACGACGTTAAACATCCTTTTGTTTAAACAAGGCTCCTTAGTAAAATCTTCAAAAGACTTGCAGCGGAGCAATTGAAGGATTATCCCAACAACGATTTGATGGACAACATCTGCTTACCGAACCTTACATTCGGCCGAAACATGTCATGGAAAGTTTCTATGAAATTTTAAATGAGCTGGATGCAAACAAAATGGTTATCTTTCCCGGTGTTGATCTCTCTGCTGCGTTTAACACCCTTGATTTTAATAGAATGAGTGGCATTAACTGAACTAATTAAAATGACAAAAAATGCAAAAGCTGGCTTATGTTTTATATGAGGAACTACGCGGAGCAAGATAGCTGTCTCAATACAGTGTCTCAGGAGATCAAAATAAAGTTTAGAGTACCTGTAGATTCAAATCTCAAAATGCTCATCAGAGACGTCCAAATACTGATTGAACAATCGACAATTATACTAGAAAAAAAAACATTTTACCAGCTTGTACCATTAGAACAGCGAAATGCAAAAAAGCGTGTGTCTAGTTTTCGATCAGGATTTCCCAAACGCCAAAAGATTTCAATGCAATGATTGAAACATCAACTAAACTAATAAGAATCACAGGAAAATGCAAATGCTGGCTAATCTATTATTTGAAACAAACGCAGCAAATAAGCTGACTCGAAAGTGTCTCGGGAGACCAAAATTAAGTTTCGAGTACCTTTAGATTCAAATCTGAACTTCAGAAAGCACATCAGAGACATCCAAATACTAATTGAACACACGGTAATTAATCTTGAAAAACAGTAAACCAGCTTGTATTGCTAGAACCGCGAAATGCAAAATAAAGCGTATGTACAGTTTTCGATCCGGCCAAAAGAGCAAGGCGATCACTCGAACGAAGATGTCGCCAAAATCCGTGTGAAGATAATAGACCTAAGTTTTACACACAGGGTGAAAATCCAAAACATTTTTGAACTGAACAAAGGGAGAATTTTATCATACAAAAACAGATGAAAGTCTCAACTCTCAGAAAAATTTCTATTCACCGAAACAACTGGTAGGAACAAGCAAATATGCAAAATATTCTAAATCACTAGTCAATTCTGTTGAAGCTTTTGAAAAATGTTGCTAATCGGTACTTCAAAACGAAACATTGAAAGCATTCAACATGTTCAAAATTCAGCTTGTCGATTGGTCTTTGGTATCAAGAAAATAGAATTTTGAAAGGAGTACATGTATAGTCTACATAGGCTACTTGTTCAGTATATTAATGATTTTAAAGCGCTGATTTTCTACATACTACCACTCTTGTACCTCCGTATCGTTGTAACATAATTCAGCTAAATAACAGAAATTACCCATGCAGATTTTCATCCTCAGGAAAATTAATTCAAAATTTCCAGCGCACATGGTTTGGAGAAAAAATCTGGAAAATTCTGGGAGATGCTTGAATGACTTGCCAAGTTCACTCCGAATTATTGAGAAGCCAGATGCTTCTAAAACAGATTTTTTTATTCAGAAAGTCCTCTTATATGAGTGCTCGATAATAGATCTTTCAAGTGAAGAAAATGTATACAGATTCAAGCAGTACCAGCCAAATCAATTGAATCCATCGAAGCAAAGAAAGCTTTTCGATGACATGCCGTTCAGCTGAGCATATGTTGATGTGCTGGGCTCTTCGCAGGCTAAGGCTTCTTCTTTGGCAAGCAATTACCATCTGTTTTCCCGGTGGAAGTATTGGAACAGTATGTAATGAGAACCTGTACAAGAATTGAAGAACGTTTTCAGAAGAACAAATTGAAGAACGATTGGCATGCGAAGGCTGTTATCATAATGGGCAGTACTAACAATGCTTACGATAATGCAGGTTCCAGATTAATGGGCACAGTAGAAAAATCTGATGAAAAGTTCTATCTGGTTCAAAAGCTAAAACTTCAGGGTTTCAATATCGGAAATTGATTGGACAAAAAGGTAAAAGCACGACAATCAGAAGTTGAAACCAAAATTTATGTTGATACCGCGAAAGAGCTGAATGGGCCAATATATAATCATACAAGCTACCGATAGAGGCACCAGGCTTAAAATGATGGATTATATCCAAACTCTACGGAGGATGGCAAAGCTCAGTTGATGGCGAATTTGAAGCAGCTTTTGTTTTAGCGTTTTTCTTCAATTTTACCGTGACCTGGTTGAAGGTTGCATATTAAAAAGTGACAATGACCATCATTCATTTTTTGGTCCGGTTGAGGGCTGAACAGTAAAAAGATTTTGGATTGTGGTTTGGTAGTAGATACTGAAATTTATTAGGACAAACAGCCCGGTTAAACCAGACGATAAACAAGACGATGATCATCAACATGAATTTTGGGACTGTTTATGATTGAAATTTTTTTCATTAATTTGTCCTTTTTATAAAAACTAACGGACGAATTTTTCAAATTAAAACTTAAATGACTTTTAAACTGACAATTTTCTGACTTATGACGACGATGACTGAAAAAGGACAAAACATTTTCGCTTGATGAAAAAGTTTAAATAATGTATGTTAATTACATATCAGTTTACCAAAATTAACTCTGTTTTAATCGTACTTTTAACGGTGTTAAGAACACAAATCAACCCAGCTAGCATTTCAACTTGAAAGAGAAACTAACTTATTTTAAATCAAGTGATAAAAAGTATTACTAATCTGATAAAAATTTTTTTGGAAGTTTCAAGTCCCGGTGAAACCACAAGGAACAACGCTTGCACTTAAAACTATAATGAAAGTTGCTTAAAGCACAAGCAAGACCCGTTGCGTGGCAACTAAGACGACAAAACTTGAGCAGCCAAACGAAAGTCCCACAATTCAATGTCCACAATTAGTTTAAAAATTGGCTTTTTCTCTAAATATGGAGAGGGAAAACCTAAGACATGCATTTTCGTTATTTTCAGTTTTTTATTTCATACATACTGAAGGAACCTGGAAGATAAGGGAATCTGGAAGATGATAAGAATAAAGAAGTGCGGGGTGAAGAGGAGAATACACCCAGAGACGAAGTTGCACTTCGTATACACGCCAATTATTAGTCTACATAAATGCTAAGTGACGCGAGCCAATTATGACGCATTAGCAGTACCAGTCAACTTGAAAAAAAAAGAAGAAATTTACCAACTAACATGCCTCAATTTATAGAGCGGATGCATTTTAACTGGTATACGAAAAAGTGCATTTTAAACATCCGACCCTGCCCAGGTTCGAACCCTCTTATTTTATTGCAGGTCTCCTTCCCTACCTCTAAGCTACAGATCCATGGTACCTTGAAGCTCAAGTGCTTTTTGTATTACAAGAGTCTGTGTTAATATCCTTAGCATTGGCTGTACTTAATAGCTGGTTATTGATCAAAATGAACACAAATATTTGCGACTTAGGTTGGAAAAATAGAGTTCATACTATCACACAAGCTTTGCTTGTTTAAACAGAGGCAAATCTGCATTAAGCAAACATCAAGCGAGAAAAGTTAAAAGACGGTCAAAGAAGATTTCAGAAAAAAGCAAAAAATACGCTTTGAAAAAAAAACTTGTCAACTGTTGGAATTGCACCATCGCGCTGAAAATGAGTCCAACGTCCTCCAATGTTGTTGTTGTTGTTGCCCTTCTGAGATCTATTCGTCGCTCGTTGTTGGGTCCAGGGTTGTGGGGAGTTTCAGCAATATTGCTGTCTTCTTCGGTTGCTTCCAGAGATCGGCTGGGGTTAAGTTCGTAGGATTTGCGATGCAGTCGAACAGGTGTATAGTTGTGTGGCTTGTTTGCTGGCAGTCCGGGCAAAGTTCGCTTACTGTCGGGTCGATTCTGTTCATGTACGAGTTCAGGAACTTTGAGTAGCCGGATCTGAGCTGTGCCAGTGTTCTTCTTGTTGTTCTTGGTAATTCGGTTTCTTCTTTGGCAATTTTTGGTGGATTGTGTCCGAGGACTGCTGGGTATTCGTAGGTTTGTAAGGCGTCGCGTACTTCATTTGTGTGGATCGTTTTTAGCAGGTTTCTGTACTTCTTTACGGTTAGAGGTCTGTTGCTGTCGAGTAGAGGTTCAATGTATCTTTCTTCATATCGTGTTTGGAGGGTTTCTTTCATGAGTCTTGGTGGGTTCTTGGGTTCTTTCGTGAGTTGGTTTCCTGGGTGATCTGGCAAGTGGTTGGCGAGATGATGTTGTATCGTTCGCATTCTGAGGTGTCGTCTAACTGGTAGAACGGATGTTTCTTGGTGAAGGTGGTCTATGTGAGTCATGGCGTGGCATCCGGTGATTGTTCTCAGGGCGCTGTTTTGGACCTTCTGTAGTTTCTCGATGTTGCTTTCGGAGAGTGTGGGCGTTATCACAGCGGCGCCGTACTCAAGTTTAGAGCGAACAACGGCTTTGTAGGTCATGAGGAGTGTTTCCTTGTCGCTTCCCCAGTCAGTGCCGGCAAGCGCTTTCAGGGCGTTGTTGCGTTGAGAGCATTTCTTCGCAGTGTTTCTGCAATGGGCCCCGAAAGTGTGCATGGTGTAACGTCCTCCAATGACCATCATGTGCGCTTGAAACAGGGAAACACTAGCCACTAACAAAAGTCATCGAACACATGCTATTAAACTCAATGCTATTCAGCAAAAGGGATCAATATTTCTACAAAAAAATGAGCATTTTGGGCTACAAAAAGCGGATTCGTAAATAACACTACGCTGGCTAGTACAAGAAGAATCGTTAGCAGCTATAACTGATTCAAGAGCACAAAAAACTCCCATAGAGATTAAGCTCAACAAGTCGGAGCGTAGTAAAAGTTAACTTCCTGATGCTGCCGCTTGTGAATTGATAACAGCAATGTTATATGTAAAAGTTGCTTTCATCTGATGTGTATACTTAAACATATTCTTGCTGATTTTCTTGATATATACTTGATGATTCCCGCCGAAAAAAAAACTAGTCAACTCATACAGCCGTTTTAGCTGGATGAAATGCTGTTGTATAAGTCGCATCATCTAGTTTGATTGTCGTTTAAGATACAAAAGCCCCACCGATAGCCACGTCTATTCAAAACCAAATTTTTGTAAGTACTTAGCAGCCCGTGACAGTAGTAGATATTTTCTCAGTTAGCATCAAAATCGAGAAATAGTGCTTAAAGCACTCACATTAAGTCACCTTGTACTTACCGTTTTTCTAAAAGCGCAGACTCCTCTTCAATTTGAACATAGTTTTGTTGATTACTTATATAACAAGAGGCCTGCATGCGTTAAAGAGGCAAAATACTAGCATTAAATTTTCAACTAATGGCGGAAGTTCCGCTCTATGTGGGTTGTCAGGAGAAAACAAAGCCAACAAATAGTTGGAAAAGTGTCAATGAACTCAAGGAAGATAGAAAAAATAATCATTTTTGTGAATGTTTCGAATTTCGAAACTAATTCAAGAATTTCAAGAATTGTTTGTTTGGATTTTTTTTACTCCCTCAACTGCGAATTTGTTCACTTGCTAAAGGAAAAAGAACTTTTTTCTGAAAGTTATATCATTTAGAGAAAACTATCAAAATTTTATTTTTTATATTCCGCTGGGAATTCAGAAAATAAAAGTCAATTTTTGAAACTAGAAGTCGTTCACGTTTTTCTAGACCTTTACAGTGCTGTTCAATTTCGATAGTGGAGTGTGTTTTTCTTTTAATAAAGGAAATAAACCGAACTTAAAATCAACAGTCAAACAAAATCAAACTTGAGCGAGAAAAAATTTTTTAAGACTTTTTCCTGAAAAAACCGAAAAAAAATCTTGACCTATATAATTATGTTCATTACGTTCACTGACACTTAAAATTGGTGAATTTACTTCCAAATTATTTCAAACATAAAGCTGCGTTTGTTGCATTGGAAATATTGAGCAGAAGATTTAAAAAAGGGGGAGATACACCTTCTGGCAGAGAATTTGACAGCGTTCCTCTCGACATTTTTCATGTTTCATGTTCTGTTCTGCTCGTTCATGCAACATTAGAATCTCGCACCACCTAACTCAAGTTTATCTCGCACAACATAAATTAATTTGCATAACTGCCAACACGTACATTCAGGTACTGCTCACAAAAGCAAATTAATCACACACTCACGCAATCTCAGACTAACATTCAAACACTCGGTTGAATTAAATCGTAACTTAATTTGGTTTCCGATGCAATCAATTGCATCAAAAATCCACATTAAATACTGAGTAAATATGCTTAAAATCAACACTATGCAAGATTTAGTAATTTTATATACAGTTCTTGAACCACGATAAATTCAATTGAGGTGCAAACATTGTAGCGAGATTTTTGTGCATATAGTTGGGGCCAAATCATCAAAATTTACTAGGCAAAAGATTGACAACATGCGTTGCTATAAAAAAATGAACACTTACCATCATACTCAGCTACAATACAGAGAACCTTACAACAATGATCACTCCATCACTATCAAAAACTCTGTATTTTCCAGCATCAATTTTACATAACAAAGGGAGGCTCGACAGGAGCCGAAAGCTCAGAGTACAGTATGATTAGCAAATATAAAAGTATGATTGTTTCGCCAAGCACTGGTATTTTATTATTCCGACCATTGAAAAGTGGAGAGGAACTTTGTATTCGGGTGTTTCAGTTTTTTTACCACGCAAAACCAGGTACCACAAATAATCATCGGACTAGATTGAGTAATATATCATATGAAAGCCCATTCCAAGATTTTCAAAATATTGGCCAGTGTCGAGAAAAACCGATTTGAAATTTTTTCGTCTAATTTCTTATTATAGAAGGATATAGAAATCTAGGAAGTAAAGTATTTAAAGTTTTTTAGTGCCAACTTGGGAACAAAAAAACCTCACATTCAAAAAAACTCACATTGCGAAAAAAACTGAATAAAAAAATTAAATTTTGTTTTTTTTAATGTAATTTTTAAAGAAAACTGTTTTCTAACATGCCTTTTTGCTGTGAATAAAACGTAGTCTTTCGTCCAAATCCTTTCATCTCATCACGCACAAAAAAGAAATTGATTTTATTTAAAAAGACTTTTTTGTAGTTTTTTTCAGAACTGAAAGAAATCCGAAAAAATCCGAGATGAGAAAACCTAGCCACCAACATTCATCTTTATATTGGTATAAATCGGGAAACCTAAACAAAACCAACAGACACTTAGAAAAGTGTTAGTGAGCGGATGGAAACAGAAACATAGCCAACAGATAAATGGATGAGAGTCAATGAACGCAGAAAAAAATACTGATTTGTTTTTTGAAGAAAAAAAACTCCGTTTTCAAAAAACGGAAAAAAACAAATGGTCTTAAAGCTCATTGAATTTCTAGAACAATTTATGGAGACAGCATTTTCAATTAAATAAACCCAATTTGAGAAAACTGGATCAATAGGTATCATTTTTAATTTTTAATGCTAAGAAATCTGATGATTTAACTCATTTTTGAAAATAAAAGTTGATTACGTTTTCGTGACCTCCCAAAAAATCACATTTTGAGCCAAAAAGCAATTAACGTTTTTTGCACCAACTTTTGTTATTGGAGAGCGTAATCTGCTTCCATTTAGCAACCGAACTTAAGCGTTAAACCAAATACTTTCTTCGAAAAAAAACCTAAGAACACTCATAGTTCAATAACAGGTAAAATTGAAATCCCCTTTGGAAAATAAAAAAATATTTCACTATTTTTCTCGTCATTTTCACAATCAATTTCGAAGAGCGTGTTTGCTCTTCTTTATAGCATTTGCATTGTGTTAACAAAATCTGGTCAAACCACAAAAGCAAAAACCAGGTTCGTGCTTTCTTTGCTATTTTCAACAAACTTAAACACACTTGAGAGGCGAACAACACAAACATAAAAAATAAAACAAATAATTGTTCCCCAAATATTAAATTTTATTATGTCTCGAACAAAAAATAATCAAGTTAACATGCCAGACATGTTAAAACTAAAAACAGAGGCAAAGCTGAGCTTCGCACCACTTGCGATACAAATTTGATAAAAATCAAACGGAAAAAATCGAGGAAAAAAATAAACCGTTTTTTATCAATAAAAATGTCAATAAAAAGCGGTGTCAAGCTGTTGTTTCGCCATTACGTCAGATGGCTGATTCAATTTGGTTTTATAATTACCCCATGCTAACAAAGCCGAAAATACCGGAGCAGAAACTTTTCAAGCCGAAGAAATTTTGTCCCTTTTCCCCTCAGAGCACACGCACGCACACAAACTTTTTTCGATCCCCGAATTACGCAACAAGAGGCCACTAGGCGATATAAATTCGATATAAAAAAGCCGAAACTTATTAACCCAAGTAGAAAAAATTAACCGTTTAAAAAACAGGTCCTAGTTAGATTCGAACCCAAAACTTTTGCCGTCCCAGGCTTATTCGTTACCTCCGGGCCGAGGGTGCAGGAGACACTAGGAAATTTGAATTCATTATCAGCCAACGTACCACGAGTCCAGATGAGTCCTGTGGACAAAGTTGTTACGGGAAAAAATCTTGTAACCGATTGCAGTACCCTTGCTTATCACAAGGATAACTAGCTACAAAACAAAGCTTATGGAGAGGAAAAAGCCGCCAATCTTCAAGCAGACACAAGTTTAGCCGAAACAAAAAAATGATTGTAAAAGAAAAATTTTCCAAATCCCACCTGAAACTACAATAAACAAAACAAAGAAAAATTAAAACAATCAATTTTTACCGGAAAAAAATTAAAAACCCCCAAGCCACCCCGAAACTACAAAGAACAACACTTGCACTTGAAACTATAATAAAAATTTCGTACAGCACAAAAAAATCTATAATATTGCAACTAAGCCGACTAATCTTTGAGCAGACACCAGCTAAGCCGATAAAAATAACTTTAATTTTTTTTTTCAAGTTTCAAGTCTCAGGGAAACCACAAGGAACAACTTTTGCACTTGAAACTACAATGAAAGTTGCTTGAAGCACAAGCAAGACCCGTGATGTAGCAACTAAGCCGACAAAACTTGAGCAGCCAAACGAAAGTCCCACAATTCAATTTCTACAGAATTTTTTTATTGCACACATAAAGGAACCTGGAGGATGAGGGAACCTGGAAGATGATAAGAGTAAAGAAGCGCGGGATAAATAGTAGAATAAAAAATTGACGAATTTTAGAGAAGAGTTGTAAGAAAAGCTGTTTAGGGGCAAAAAAACTCTAGTTCCCGGTTACAAGACATTTGCTCTCGCACGTGTAATGAGTAAAAAACGAGACACATTTGAATGTCAATTCGCTCAATCACAATTCAAAATTCTTCATCACAAAATAGGCAAAATTCAAGCTTTTGTAATCCAAAGCACCATCAGCCCAATAAGCCAATGCAAGCAAGCTTTAAAAACAATTATTTGCCAGGATGACAACTATTTAAAAAAAAAAGACTTTCTGTTCAAATCAACGCGGAAAACGCATTAACACCGAGAACGTGCAACAAGAAGCTGTTTAGCGAATCCAAAATAGCAATTTACTTGTAAAAATATTTTTCCCTGACAATTTTATGTTGTACCCCTCGCAAGCTCTGCTGACACTGAATCCATAAAACATGGGACAAATAATTGGAAAAGTGTTAATGAACTCAGGTAAACCGAAGCTCAAATAGTAATTTCATGGAAAACTTTTCAGTTATAGAAATTCAAAAAATATGTATAGCCTCAAAGCTCTATTGATTAAGAGAAATTCGAATTGGTTTTTCTCGTCATTTAAAAGCGAAATTAGTAGCGAGAAATAAATCAAAATTGGCTTATGGTAAAAAAAAAAGTTGGTTATGGCTAAAAACATTTCGAGATTAGGCCTGTGAGGCAAACCATAAGCCAATTTATAAGCGTTGAGTCAAAACACTAACATGGAAATATTGCTCTAGAAAATAAGCTCACATTATCTAAGGTTTTTAAATTGAGTTGACATGGACTTCGGGTGATATGTTACAATAGGTGGTAATTTTGAGTAAAATGCATGTATTGAAATCATTTCATTTTCAATCAATTGTACATGCTGCTAAGATAGTTTTTGTAAATTCATTACTCTGCCAGATAAAATGTTATTCAAAACCTCAGATTTTACACTTCTTTCGCCAAAAAATTTGGCTTTTGAAATAAATTATAAATACTGTGCAAGTATAACAAAAAGCGATCCAGCTTTTTAACTTTGAATTACCACCTATTGTAATATATCACCGGACTTCGATTTAAATTAGATAAGCTCGAGAATTTTTACCTGTATGCAGGCACGAAGCTCTCAGCTTAAACCGGTCTAGTCTGTCCGCACTCGACGGAATCCCAGTTGCCTTTCCGAATCTTAGTTTAACGAGAGGATCTGAACTGTGGATGATCCAGGGCGGATTGGCGTGGGCATTTTCCACCAGATTAGAACAATCATAAGACTCTGTCACTTTTGTGCCGTTTGTGTGCACAAAACTTGCCTAAAAAACAATTCAAATATTAACTTATTTCTTTTGGAATAACATTGATCGCTGATCACTTTTTTGTAGACTAGTCTACAAAAAATTCAAATTTGTCTGAGCTTCTTTGAAGTAAAACCGAAGAAAAAAATTATTAATTTCTTTTAAAACTTTGAATTTTGCGGAATAATGGTCATACTGAAGTTTTCTAAATTGCAAGAATCTTATATGCTTTTAAAATAAAACTAGCACAACTAAAGACAAGTTCGAAACACAAACTGTTCATTTCCATTTATTTCGATGAGTTGGAAATCAATCTGTTCCGGAAGTTCATTACATAGTTTTGATAGATACAGCAGATTCAGTAGTTGAAAAAACATTTTTAGGCTAAAATTTTCGTCTTAGTCATTAATTCTTTGTAGCTCGATACACGATCAGCTGTAATCCATTTCAGGACACATTTTTGGAAATGCACTTGAAAAGAAATCAAAAATCAAATCCCAAAGTTCGAGTGTCAGCAAACTTTAAGACTTTTCCTGAAAAAAATCTTCACGAACTATATAAGTGTCTTCACTACAATCAATGACAATTAAACATGCTAGAGACGGATAGGATTGGATACGGAAAGGATTGTCATTTCATGACAAAAAAGATTAATAAAGACTACTGGAAAAGTTGAGACTATCTTAGACTTTAACCTTCAGATAATGGCAGAAAAAAAAAGAAGTAACTGGTTACTGAGCTTGCATCAGCATCATCTTTACTTTTCGTTCGTACTTGGTAGAATTTTTTCCCATTTTCTCATTAGGGGAAGGAGTGGAGCATGAAATTCATTTCCCCGAAAAACTTTTCAAATATCCTAACCAAAAATTCCGTAAACTTCCTGGACCGTAAAATTCCTTATTCACTTCTTTTCACTAAATTATTCTCAACTCAAATATACTTAGAACAGCAAGAACTCTCGACCAAGAACTAATGTGAAATATATGTTCCAAGAGATGAATTAAACGCTTTCTGAAAGCTGCAAAAATGTTCGAAACTTTTAAGCATGGAGAGTTTTTCACACGGAGGCAAAAATTTGCTTCACACATTTCCGATGAAAGAAAAACATCGCACCGCAGCTAGCCGAAAAAACTCCCATGAGTACGAAAAACAGCCCATGAGTCGAAAAACAGCGTCAACCAAAAATGTCATACTTTTGTCTCAAATTAGGCTCATTTAGAGGAAAAAAACTATTGCTAGCGTTAAATTAGCATTCAGACAAGGCAGTAAATAAGCAGACAATACTTGGGTAGACACCCGTAGAGCTGAAAAAATTTTGAGCTATGAATGATTTTGAATTGAGTCCCCACCCCCCGAAGCACAGAAAGGCACAAAAATCTATATTTGCCCTTAGACCAACGTAATACAACAAGTTACTGAATTTCTTGTAATTTGATTTTAAAGAACAAACATTAATCGAAGTTTGCCAGCAATGTAGAAATTGAACAAATACTGAGAATGGGCAAAGGCAATTAAGTTCAGAGAACTTGAATGATTTGAATCATACCTTCCCGTATGACACTTGGCTTGAGTCTCTTAAATTGGTTCAAAAAATTATATAGTTTTTTGATATAGAGTTATTTTAATTTTGAAAAAATTGCTCCATTAGTTGGTGATCATTATGTATTAAAATACCTTTTCTAAAGACCCCTTTTTGCGTATTGGCTATAGCAAAAACGGTGTAAGCAAAATTATTTGTTCTCAAGTATCTTATTTTGCGGTCTGTAAAACGAATCCACCTTTAGTAATCGAAACGCAGATTTTTGACCTTATAAAAACTGGTGATTAAATAATGACGATGTAATCAAGCAAAAACAAACAGGTTGAATTTAATGCTCAAATTTTAGTTTGCCGAAGATCGCAATTTCGACACACTGTAGCAGGCTTCAAGGGGCCAGCTAACCTGTTTTTCTAGCTTAACGGTTAGATTTTTGAGCATCGTACTGGAAATCACAGCTGAATATTGTAAGTAGCTAAGTACTAGGCTAATACGAAGCAAATTAAAACTAGCCAACTTTGGGTTTACCAACTTGCAACCAAGCAACTAGTATGTTCTTTAGCAGTAGCGGATTTAGGGGGGCGGACGCCCCGCCCCCTCAAGTATTTGACACCGACACAATCCAACGGATCCCCCAATTGGTTTTTTTTTCAAAAAAAATTCAAAGTGCACCTTCGGCGCCGGTCAATTTGTAGTAGAGGTCTGAAAGTACAAGAGGTATGAAAACTTTTAGGTGTGAAAATGAGTCTGATTTGAGTAAACCTGCCTCGTTCATAGTATATATACCCCGTTCAAAACTACCATCCTCATTCCAGAAACTTCTTCACTGGACTTCACACTGCACTCTGGACTGGACTTCAACTTCAACCTTCCCGATGTCAAAGCATGCTGCTCCCAAGGACTCTGGCTTCGAGACGCTCAAGGCCTTCTCCACCAGCGGACCCAAGATCTCACCACCCTCATCCAGTTCTACTACTCCTGAGCCTAGCAACCTTAGACCATCAAACCTGACACGCCCATACCTGGACCCTCAAGGCTCTCAGAGCCTTTGGCACCTTTGGCCATCAAAAAAGATAAATCCTTTCATCAACTTGTTCTATATCTCCGCTTTCTGAGCAAGCCCTGCAGTCTCTAGCTTACATGGACATAGGAGTCAATGACTTCAACTCGCTGGCGATGGACATAGGAGTCATTAACTTCAACTCGCTGGAGATGGACCGTGATATCAAGTTCGCTCTTCTGGACAGCCCCAACAGACCCCCACTGCAAAACTGCTGAAGAACTACCTTCGATCCCATATGAAAGAAGATCGCTTATCGAATTTAGCTTTAATATTAATCCACAAAGAAGTGAAAATAGAGGTTCAGGATGTCATAGACAGATTTGCCGCAAAAAATCGCAGACTCACTTTGGTATAAAATTGTTTAAATTTTGTTGATTTTTGAATTCAATTTATGCAACCGTTTTTCCAAAAATCCGCGCCCCTCGGAAGAAACCTAGATCGGCGCCTCTTCTTTGGGAACATTAGACGATACGACTAGGCCCGTTACCTTTTTTAAGCTAAGATGAAAAAGAAAGAACTAAATTTTTAAAAAGCTTTTAAAAATTCGAACGCAAGTTTCAAGCAATTGCCGCAAAAGAAAAGAAAATCCAGGAATAACTCATTGAGAATGCCTATAAAAACACACCATTACATCAAACTTATCAAAGATTAAGTTCATAAGCATTGGTAAGAGAGCTGTGTCACAAAAAATGTAGATTACAAAAAAAAGACGCAATTCAAGTTAATAACTTTTTATAGCCAAGAAGAAACACACTCGTGACATCGAATGAAATTCGTCAAATCGAAAACAACCTTATGAATTTACTACTTGGACTAGGTTCAAGGTCTCGATTCAAATCTAACTTCTGAGATGTGTCGCCTCAAGCATAAGTAAGTTATACCAATGTACCAAATGCAAAGAAATCTCCTTGAATAAAGAAAACAACTTCCAAAACTTTTTAATAAAAGTAAAAAAAATAGGCAAAACTTGTTGGAACTCAATTACTTATCAAAAACCGGAAAACAAAAAATAATAATTTTTGAGTTCAGCTCTAATTTTAGGCAAATTTGATCCTGCGGAAACTTAGCCAACGAAAAAATCAGACAAATAGAAGTCCGACAAAGATTTTTCTGACGTGCGGTCAATTTTCCGCATACAAAAACGGGTCCTGGACGGATTCGAACCCTTGAGCTTTGTCTTTATAGACAGGTGGATTACCTCTTCGCCACTCGCGGGAATTGAAGTCGCCTGACTTTTGATTTCAAATGAACCAATGTTAAGAAATTCAAGTGATTCTGTTAAACTAGTAAATAAACCCAAAAAAGTACAAATTCCGGTTCGATAACTCTTATTAATCTCAAGCGTGAACATAGCCAAAGTTGAAAAAAGGCATAGCCAATGAACGCACGCAAACAAAAAAAAAACACTTTCAGATTTCGTAGAAAAAAAAAAACAGATGACCTTTCGTTTTTTGAAATTCTCGAAAAATTTCTGATTCTCACTTTTTTTATTACATTAACCCAATTGAAGAAAACCGTATCCATAGGCAATTCTTTTATTTTAAAGAGATATCTCAAAATTAAAATCCACTTTCGAATTAAGACGATCACGTTTTCGTGACTTTTACAATTTTGCTATTCGATAATGGAGTTTGCCTTCTTTTTAATAGAAAAAATGAGCTGATTTTAAAAAGAAAACAAAATCAACAAAACACCAAGCTACCCCAGCAGCCAGGACTATCAAACTTTAAAAAAAACTTCAAGCTTCTCGAAATTGCGTGTTTTGAAAAAAAAACTATGGAAATTTTGAGACGAAGAGAAAGTTTGATTGTTGTTACAAACACAGAACAAGGGACATTTTACTGTTAACAAGTTTAATTTCAACCGATTCAAAAACTTCAAAGATTACTTAGTAGGCGTTACAATGACCAAGGACAAAATCAATAGGAAAAAACCAACTTATCTTGCTAAGCTATTTTAGATGTGAGAAAATGATTACCTAGTATAGGGAGAGAACACGTGTCTTTTATAAAGATACAGATTCTCTATTTTACTAAGTAAAAACAACAGATGAGTTAAAAGACCTGATTGAATTGAAAAACCAAATGGATTTCAGTGAACATCCACCGAAACACTTCTTGCTTTCCGTAGAGAACAAAAATTCCTCTAACTATCTGATGAGCCAAACGGATGTATATATCGGAGGCTGTGTTCCTGACGCCTAAAGAGTGCTCAATTTCCTATTTTGACTCTGACAAGTACAACAGCAAACGCAGTGCAAAGGGAGTGAACTACTCGGTGAAAATATCACTCCATCACGAATCGTACAAATCTGCTTTATTTAATGGAAACAAAATCAGAAAACGAATGAAAATAATTCCGAGTAAAAATCATTATATCTCAATAAGCGATGTAAGCAAACTTGCTTTATCTCCATTTTACAATAAAAGACATTATGATCTTAATGGTAAAATTTCTCTCGCATATGGACATAACAAAATTAGAATCAGATTCACTGTCCCCGGCATTAATACCCGAAATTTGCGATTCGGTGAATCATGATTTTTCGCTACCCGACCTCGGGCTGTGGCGCACTGCTGAAATAGCCAGTGATGATGAAATTTTGGACTGGGATGCTCCGGCAACAGGTTAACTCTGAAAAATAGATAACGTGCTTCTCGTCTAAACGATTCAATACAGATGGCGGCTTTAGGTCTCTAGAATCACCACTAAAAATGCAAGCTCACTTTAGAGCTGCAGAAGAAGTTCGGCACACTGAAGCAGCTTGCAACTGATAAACCAAGCAATAACAATAAAATTAGCTTAACTATAAACCAAACGAAAATGCACTGAGTACATAAGCCTGCTGCAAATCTACATCATTTTAACTAAAATATAACACTTCCGTGTTTTCGGCTGGTTTATATACCACCAAAGCTGTTAAATGTGCAACTTGACTAGAACTGAAGACCTTCTAATTGATACACTGTAAAAAAAACGGAAAAACACGCCTAGTACCCGATTGCAGTACCCTTGCTTATTAGAGGACTAATTTGAGAACGAAAACATAAGCAAATCTGTTTGCTCATTAATTTCCTGCGAGGCATTTCTTGTAAATTTTAGCTAGATCTATCTTTTGAAAATAGAAACATATATCGGTAACTTCAGTATAAATACTTTGAGGCTATTAAGTGAGTAGTGTTTTCAGTTTGTCTAGCAACTTGAAGTTAACGATATATGCTTATTTCCAAACACTACTCACTTAAAATCCTCAAAAATTTTGAGCTGACTTTTATTTCTTACCTCAATTGCCCAGAGCTCACATTCTTCTCTAGTCTCGAATGGCGACTGTTCGAAAAAGAGGACGGTGTGGCAGTGATCGGCCTCTGGCACAACCTGGTAGTAGCATTGGGTGCCCGAGGGATATTCTCCGTCAAGAACAGCCATAGGATTTTGTACCGCACCTCCGTGTCTCAATTTCATGGGTTTCTTTTCCGAAGAGCAGTACTTCACTACAAAATATTCAGTTTGCACGAAAAAAAATCAAAAAACTATTCTCCACGACTATAAGTAGTTATCACTAACACTCGTAATATTCAAAGCTGCTCGAGAGAAGATCATCTGACATAAAGACAATCGCATTTTCTGAGTTGAGTTCATCTTGTTTGATCGCGCTTTTCATTACTTTGAATTTTCCAATCTTCGAGAAGAACTGGTAGTATCCGATGCAATTTTCACCACCGGAATCCAACGAAACTGTTTGGGGGTCAATTTGAAGGTCATATTCACTGTCAACGCTGATCCAGACCTTAAACATTTGATTAAGTCACAGAGGCGAAGTGTAACTTCGCGTCAATTGCAATAAAAAAACAACCCAGTCAAAAAACCGGCGGAAAAGTGTTATATCAACATAAAATATGTCTGTATAAAATATCACAAATCTATGAGTTTGAAGTTTTTGGAACACCAAGAAAATGTTATGGTCGACACTTTTTTAATCAAATCAACTCAGTTAGAGAGAAAAGGATCGGCAAGCAATTCTTTCCGTTGAACATAAAATTTCAGATTGGTGAAGGTTATTTTTTAAGGAAAAATCAAAAGGTTCAAAAAAAGGTCAAAAAATCAAATATTTGACTTTTCCGAGGGCCTCAACATTTTTGTGGAAAAAAAATTTGGACATAGCCGCTAAATCAGTGGCGCATCACTCAACCTGTTTTTTCTATTAATACAAACACACGTTATTGAACCCAAAATCGCGCAACACGTTATTGAACCCAAAATCTCAGACTAGGAAGAAGGTTAGTTTTCAAGAAAAAACGAACAAATTGAAAAATTTATGTTTTTCCGAGAGCTAAAACTTTTTGTGGGAAAAAATTAGTGCGCGGCTGCTTGAACAGGGGAGCTTCTCCTTAACTCCAGTATTTATACAACTTACAGTCTCGAATTCGGGAGGGTAGTGTTCGATATGAAAAAATCCAACATATGGATCGAAAATTCCCTCCAGACACTTTTTCGAAGGCTGCAGAAAGTGGGGTACGTTTTAAAAACAGACAACATTTCTATGCAGGCACACAGGTGAATTAGCGGTCTTTCCATTTGAGAAAAAAAAACTATTTTTTTTTTTCAAATAGTGAAAAAATTATCCTAAGAGTCTCAAACAAATGAAATGAAAAAACAAATCCCATACATTTTCATAGGACACGTTTTAATAAAAACTGGAGCAAACTGTTTGAATCAAAAATCAAAACCTAAGCTTTGAAAAAAAACAGTTGAGAGGCACACCAGATAAAATAAATTGCAATTGGAACAAAAACACGCCTTCAGCCAAGAAGAATTAGGACGAAAACTAAAAGTCCGAGAACAACATTTTTTTTATAAACGACTTTTCGTAAGACTTGAGTGATCTAAGAAGTAGTTTTACTTGAACTTTCAGTGATCTAAGAAGTAGTGTATGTCAGAGCAGCAGCTGAAATTGAGCAGCATATGTGTAAAAAAAGTTGTTTACGGGAAAGTCTAGTTCCCGATAACAAGTCACTTACTCTCGCAAGTGAAAAAACTGGATCAATAGGTAAAATCTTTATTTCGCTGGTAAATCTGATAATTAAATTCCATTTTCGAATTTAAAAATCGATCAGGTTTTACGTGATCTTTAAATTTTTGCTGTTCGATGGTGGAGCTCGCCTTCCTTTTAATAAAGGAAATGAGGTGAACTTAAAAAGCCTTAACAAATTTTAAATCTTCCTGAAAAAAAATCATCGCAACCTATATAAGATTGCGGTGCAACAACACAAGAGGTAATGTCCCTGGCCCTTAAGCCATTAGTTATAGGGCCATTTTCTTTGAACCTCGTGTGTAGCTTAAGTTGGCGAATAACCACAGTGCAGAATTTGCCAAAACTCAGTTACCGATCACTGAATCAAAAAATACTGTAAAACAAATTTTCTGGATTTTAATTTCTTTTGAAAATTTTCCGTATTACTAACACAGGAGCAAAAATAATGAACCAAACAAGAGAAAACAATCCGTTACCTGAAGATAGTAGTAATATGACAAGAAATGAACAAACGGTTTTTTGTTCAGAAAACTAAAAACTTTTCATACTAGCTTTGAGATTTTCATTGAAATTTTCAACACTTCCACCCGAAAAATTTCCAATCGAAAGCAAGCATATGATTGTATACCAGATGATTATTGTGGTATATTTTCTGAAAATGTCGAAATCAAAAATCGTTCCATTCTTTCCCAAAGCTTGTTCTGTTCCATTGTAGTGTCATCTAAGATTGTTTATGAATCACATTTAGTCTTCAAGTTAAGACCTTGAAACGCACAAACTATCTATCGGAAGTAGTGGGACGGTAACATATACTATGATGTTTCTACGCTGGAGTGAAACAGGGAACCATTCATAAACAATTGACCTTACATAAGCGTGTAATTAGGAAAAAATGCTTACTTTGATAAGTTTGTCAATCAAATCTTTGCAGACAGAGTTAAAAGCATCTTGATTTGATGCGTCAGTAATGCCAACACCTTTCACGGCAAATGCTGCAATAAATGGAAGAGCGGCTTTCAAAATCCCAGTATATGGCTTGTCTTCAGTCCATAGCGTTATGTAGAAAGAGTCGGCATTGAAAACACAGTCAGTTTGTAGTCCAACTATATTGGACACGGAGATGTAGGGCGAATATTTGATAGCATATGACGTCGATGAACAGTTAACTAAAATATCACTCATAATAAAACACTGGAACTAGAACTAGGGAAACGTTAGTTAAAAGATACTCACAGTAAGATGGTTCATACTTGATATTCGTGTGGTAAACAACCGCTGGTTCGCTTAGTGGCGTATGTTGTGCTATACAAAAGCCACAGAGCATAAAAAGGAATGAAAATTGGATCATGAATACCTGCAAAAAAAATTTCCCATCTGCTACAAAAAAAATAAATTACACTATGGGAGGCAACCACACGTTTTACAAAGCAATCAAAACACTTGACATGATGATATCAAGTCCATGGAACTTGATAAAAAGCATGATCTGCATCGTCACAGAGCAACTTCAAGCATTTAAGTCATTTTTCATCATGCTAAAATAGTGAACTCATGGCTGGGTCTCAGTATCGCCAGACCACGAGGTCACTCCTAAAAACAGGGCTACTACTTATGATCATGTTACAATTGCTTTTGTCAGTAGATAAAAATCATCATATGCATCGGAGACGGATCAACCCTTTCCCTCAACTCGTGGCTTCTCAATAACTAAAAACGAGTTTGAGTTTATTTAATTCGATTCAGTACATACTGAGTAGCTAAAAGTTGTAAAAATTCAGTATTTAGTCTTTTCCCGAGACCCTTCCGGATTCTTGAAGCCGGTCGAAAAGCTGTCTTGTTGACCAGAAAGGGAAGCAAAATCCTCCCAATACCACTCCAATTTCTCGGGAACTACTCCGAAACAATTGTAGCTGCACAATCGTAACAATTCGGAATGCTCTTCCGCTAATATCTTCGACTGCAAATTTCTATCTTGTTTCCGTTTTTCTCAGCAAAAAATTTCGTACTTATTCTGACTAGCGAAAATGTTTGTTCTTATTCCAACTTTTTTAAAAAAAAAAGAATTAATTCTATAAAATAACCAAACAATATATACAAATATATGTACAAAATACAAGGCTCAGAGATAAAAAAAAAATGTCTTCAAGAGAGTCAGTGGGCTTTATTGTCCCAAGAACGGATGCCGCGTTCGCAATCTGGAGTGCTACTGAAATACGCTGTTCTAAGAAAGATGGTGCACGAGTGGCATCAGTAAGGCGTCTACCAAGATCACGAATAATCCTAAGGGTGTCACTGCCGCATTCTCCCTGTGTCTCAAAGGCAACTCCCTGGAAAAAATATCCATCTCGGACTAAAGGCTCATATTTCTTCGCTTTCAGATCTTCAGCTTCAGTTGCAGCTTTACCGGCATACAAGTCACCACCATGGAGCCTAGAGGGCGCAAAACCATCTACAACAGTGGCATCCCAGACGAGAGAAGACCCACTAATCCAAGGAGCCAAAGATAGTCCATCAGGTCTCTTGAAAACAGTGCGGCTTAGACCCGGTGGTTCCAAAATGGAATGTATTTGAAGAGTGCCAAGTGAATCTTTAATAAATTGATTCAACATAGAGTGCCTAGCGAACCTCCCAGCGCTGCGAGAACAAGACAAACCATGCCAGGCCGAGCGGTCGACTGACTTGCCGCACACACAGACATGTTCAACGCACAGAGGAGTCCCGAGTCGAAGGCCGACCGAGATTCTGAGTTGAGAATTGGTGAGTTTTAAACCTAGTGACTGACAGGGCAATGCATTCAACCAAGCAGCAGGAAGTTTACCCTAAAAGCACAAAAAACGCTTCCTACCAATGTCATCAAGACTATCAAGAAGTTCGGAAGATAACATTTTGTAGATCGGAGCTGTCCAAGTTTTCTGAAGCTCAGGTTGTGACGGCACATTCTGTAACCCTGTTTTGGATGACCAAGAGGCAAAAGCAAAGGTAATGTCAGCATCATCGCTGATGTCAAACTTACTAAGAATGGTTTGGGTCAGCCTACCACAACCAACCGCAGACGCAAGAAATGCAGGAAGCGCGAGATGGAAAGCAGACGTCAGACCAAGACCACCAGAAGAAGAAGGCAACAGAGACTGCAGCTGGCTGTTAGCATCGAGCCTAACATTGGCACATCGAGAAACGGCGCTGACAACGAATTTGTTCCACTCACGAAGAAGATCCTCTTCCTTGAAGCAGCTCGCAGTTCGCAAAAAGTACAACAATTTAGGCAGACTCAAACAGTTTCTAAGCAGAAAAAGCGCGTGGTGGCCATCGACGTTTTCGAGAATGTGCCAGTCGGTCATATCTGGAAGTTTGACCTTGAGAGACACGAGAATTTGTGATTTTGGAGTGAAGTTTTAATTTTCAAAATTTCGAATGGAGCCTGTCATGCTCAGTTTTCTCGTACCAACTGAAAACAAAAAGTGAAAAATCAGAACGACCGAATTAACAATTGCGGGAAAATACTCAAGAAAACAGCAGGAAATTGCTATTCGCAATTTCCCGATACAAAATAATACACGAGCAGAGCTGTTTTATCCCGAAATAGGAGGAGAGATAATAAAAAGAAGAGAGAACAACTATTCGAAACGAACCAGAGTGAACCTTCAATGGAAAGGTGGACAGCTTGAGTGTCCCAATGGTTCACACAAAAACTCCAATTCTACTTTCTGTTACCAAACTTACTTCTGTTATCAAGACTGATCAGTATTAAACTTATCTAGTTATATTATCTAATTCTCGAGTGTATTTTATGATGGTTATGTTGAGATAAGGCGAGTTTTAGGTTGATCCATCTGAAATGGATCAAAGTTCCACTGTCCAATAAAAAGTAACTTAACGGATTGTTCCGACCCTGTTTTTAACGGCGTTCGTGTATTTTGGGTTTTTCGAGACCTAAGTATGGGGACGTTCTTATTTTCTAGAGTAAGGGATATTTTGGTAGTAGCCTTTAAGCTGTAACGGGTTCTAGTCTCATGTCGCAAGCGAACCGAATTGGCTCCGACCGTTCTTGAGGTAGAAAAACACAAGAGATAGTGTCCCTGACTCTTGAGCCAATGGTTATTGGGCCTATTTCTCTTAAGCCTCTTATGTGACCGAAGTAGGCGACTGTTACATAATGTTTTTATGGCGCTCCTGGGTGTTTTTACGACATCATGACTACGGAGTCGAACCCACTTGACACAGCTCCGGGCTGCATGCCCATTCTAGAGTACCGGTGGTACGGTTCAGCGGGAACGTGTAAACCTTCCGGTTGTACCGTGATAGCTTTTTAAGAAAACTTGAGAAAACTTCCTGGTACGCTCTCCGAGCGAGGCCTAGCTAACCGAGTAAAGGGGGGTAACTAGGGAAACAAAAACAAGAAAAAAGTATAGAAAAAGGAACAAAAACCATAAAACGAAAAGACAGTGACTTTGATACCGGATCATTTGGATCAAATCTTTATATTAATTAAATAGTATACCGATACTGTTTTATAAGACCGATCGTTTCGATCAATCTAGCAATTTAAACCAGTGACTTCATTAAGGTGCCCGAGTGGGGGGGCGTTGTTAAGGGTTTTCAGATAGATTGCAACCTAGCCGGACCACTAGGAGACTTGACTGGAAGGGGTGACCAGCCGAGTGGGAAAGTGGTTCACAAGGATCGAACCGGAACACTAGGAAACTTGACTGGAAGAGGTGACCAGCTAAGTGGGAAAGTGGTGCTGCTGTCAAGTGCAGAACAAAGACAACCAGCACAGGATTACTACAGGAGGACGCACAGGGGTGTTCCCAAGTTGGGCAACGGGTATCGTTAGATTCCACATTACGTTGTAGGAGATAAGTGTAAAATTGGATAAGTGGAGCCCCATTGTTTTGAGGAAGTTTTTACACAAGCAGGCCTAGAAACAGGTCTACGGTTTTCTCTCGAGAGGTTTAGCACCCGGCGCTTAAGGGATTTTTCGAGACCTAAGTATGGGGACGTTCTTATTTTCTAGAGTGGGGGGATATTTTGGTAGTAGCCTTTAAGCTGTAACGGGTTCTAGTCTCATGTCGCAAGCGAACCGAATTGGCTCCGACCGTTCTTGAGTTAGAAAAACACAAGAGATAGTGTCCCTGACTCCTGAGCCAATGGTTATAGGGCCTATTTTTCTTAATTGGCTCCGACCGGTTTCGGCTTAAGAGGGGGGCTAAAGAGGGGGGAGGTTAGAAGGGTGGCTGGTTAGGTTAGAGGTTAGCGGTTGTAAATTGTAAAAAGGGGGCACACGTTAGAGTAACTAATTGTTCGGCATCGTCGATTTAGTTACATTAGATACTTACACGCGTTGGTTATAAGAAGCGGATATCCAAATTTAAAATCAGGTTAAGGTAGGTACCCTGGTCGGATCGGTAGGGGGAACGGACATAGACAGTTTTTGTGATACCCCATAAGATCGCTAGCAGGGGGGAGGAAAACGCGTGGCAATCGGGTACCAGACATTTTTTCGGACAAAGATTGACATCGGTCAACCTTGAATTTCAGGAGAATTCATCCATCTGTTTTTGAAATTTTTCCAGTTTAAATTTTTACGTTTTGGTGAAAATTTTTTGTTGGTATTTTACGAACAGGTGATCACAAGATACCTGCGGGGAATTTAGGGTTTCAAATAGTTCGAAACATACAGAGGGAGACAAATACAGGGGGATTAGTATTTGGGTTTTGACAATTTAGATAGGGATTTTGGGAAAATTTTTACTAGAGCTCAAGTGGTGGTAAAGGTACAGTGGTTCCTACAACGAAGAAGAAGGTAGTCCCTACAACGAAGAAGAAGAGATCCGATATCCAGACACTCAGTGACAAGTCTTGGGACAGTACCGAAGAAGTCTTGGGACATCGCAGTCCGGGGACAGTCTTGGAGCAACACGGTCTTGGGACAGCCTCGGGACAGGGCAGTCTTGGGACAGTCTCGGGACAGTGCAGCCTTGGGACAGTCTTGGACCAGAGCAGTCTTGGGACAGTGGTCTTGGGACATTGGTCTTGGGACATTGGTCTTGGGACATTGGTCTTGGGACAGTGGTCTTGGGACAGTGGTCTATGGACATTGGTCTTGGGACAGTGGTCTTGGGACATTGGTCTTGGGATATTGGTCTTGGGACAGTGGTCTTGGGACATTGGTCTTGGGACAGTGGTCTTGTGACATTGGTCTTGGGACAGTGGTCTTGGGACATTGGTCTTGGGACAGTGATCTTGGGACATTGGTCTTGGGACAGTGGTCTTGGGACATTGGTCTTGGGACATTGGTCTTGGGACAGTGGTCTTAGGACATTGATCTTGGGACAGTGGCCTTGGGACACTAGTCT